GGGAATCAATCTAAATCTACTGCGGGTGCGGGGAAAAAGAGGATGTAGATAGTATCTCATCAAGGCTTTAGTCCCAGAGATAAAGACAGTAGGAACAAATTAATGTAAAACCATTCATATCAATAACATGAGCACACACTTTTTGGATTGGCACATGTTAGGAAGTGAAGAGTTTTCGGTTCCCCTGTACAAAACGGCAAGTGATGCCCAAGTGCAGTGAAACACTTGTGCTGATTTTATTTAGCTTGGTAAATGTTATAATGATAATAATACTTGCATTTGATATAGCGCCTTATTAGGTCTTCGAGACGTCTCAAAGCGCTTCACAGAATATACTGTAAAGTGAATTGACTGTATATCCTGTGGGCAAAATGTTATAGTCTGATCACATCTCTACCAAATTTCAGACAACAGAGTGCAGAAGATCATTTTCACTTAGCCTGCTCACCTTCCTTCTTCACATTCGGCCTCAGACCCACCACCGTTTTTCTTCACCTCCGCCACAGTGCCTGCCCCGCTAATAGCTCAAACCAAATGCCACTGAAACTTAGTCCCACCTCCTGCCAAGACTTTCCAAATGTAAGCCTCATCTCCCTCGTCCCACCATTCATAAATTCCATTTAAAGCTCCCCAGCAAAATGCGAAAATCTTACAACACATCCCTGAAAAGGTGCCAGATTTTTAAAACCCTTTAATGGCTGACGTACGTGCGTGATTAAGTTTGTACTACCTCTTGGTGAGTTCCTCAAACAAAGATTTCAGCCGACCTAGTTCAGCCGAGGGAAACAAAATAAATCATTTACATCAGGGGGAAGGTAGCATCATACATTTTATTTTCACTTTCAAGCTGACATGGTCTTCAATCCATTAACGTAGAAATCGAAAATCTGTAACTAACTTTTAAAATAACATTTATATAGTGCTCCTCACACAGGTTAGAGTCTCAGAGCGTTTGACAGTGGCGGAACACGACGCCGAGCGAGGGGTAGGTGACCATGGGCATGGTCGAGTTGGAAGGTCTTCGGGCATACTCTGAAGATGGGGAAGGAAGGGGCAAAGTGGAAGGATAGAGGAGTTTCAGGGCATAGGGCTGAAAAAGCAAGTTTTCATCCTTTTTCTAAACTGTACCATTCTCTGAAACACTGTACTTTGAAATGCTTATGCCTCGCTGGAGGCTATAGAAGTAGAATAACCTGATAGAACAGGATCCATGGATTGAAATGTTCGGTTCCTATACGGTCTTCAATTATGCAAGCTTCAAACTTAATTGTATAAGTCACCAAACTCAAAATTTACAGTCAGTGATGCAGCCTCTTATAAAATTATTTATAGAGGACGCACAGGTGTAGTGTTGATTGACATATTTAGCAAATCACATAGTTAGAAAAAATACATAATTTGTGCCATTTTGTTCCACTGTGATTTGCAGTATCTCAAGTAGAGTTTTCCCGTGGCAAATGTTGCTTCCAGGATCAATCTATTTTTACCCATTCAAAATTGCATGTGTCTCGTTTATAACGCGCTCTCTTTTGCTCTCTCCCCTCCTACCCCCGCCACGCCCATGAATGTACTTTGGAGTTCTGCTTCCAAACCACTCTTCACTTATCCAAGTATTTTCTAGTATTATTCATTTCTAGTATTCATCAATAGCTTAGTGGACATAATTAGAAGTGACACAATTTCTGTCCATCCAACCTTCTACAGAACCTGCAAATCCTGCCGACTATACCCTAGCCCGCACGCACCATCTCCTGGTGAATGTCCTACACAGATATTCTTTAGTCCTCAAAATATTAAAGAAATAATCACAGAATATTTCTTCACCCATCTCTCTCTGGTATTCTCTCCTGATCTCTCTCCAAACAAAAATTCCTTCTCTCTTTCGCGCTCTCTACCCCCACCCCCGCCACGCCCATGAATGTACTTTGGAGTTCTGCTTCCAAACCGCTCTTCTCTTATCCCCAATACTATCCAAGTATTTAAGCAATTTGAGTTTTAAAAAATTCACAATTTAAGATGCCCAAGATTTAAAATAAGAAACTTTTGTTTTAAATTACACACCATTTCTGATTTTTGCAGTTTATTGACCTGGAATAGAAAGAATAATAAACTGAGGGTTGGGGCAGAGGGCTGAGATGTAACAAGTCACAAGGAAATAAAAATATTTTGGTGCTGTATCCTATTCACTGGAAACGCACTGCAATCTAATGACAGTATTGATCTGAAGATTGGGGAGAGAAGGATCAAGGTGGAGGGATAGAGGAAGAGAGTTTCAGAGCAAGTGACTGAACAAGCAAGTCTTCATCCTTTTTCTGGAGCTTTGTCTCAGACTGTATCTGAAATTATCTCAGATTGATCTGAAATTTCACCATTATCTGAAACACTGAACTTTTGAAATGTCTATGTTTATGGAATGACAAGATAAGCATTTTACTTCTGGTTTCAAAATGTATCTTGTCAATACTGAACCTAGATTAGAACACAATTTTCAGTACAGCTGGCTAGCTTTAATCTATCTATAGCCAAACAGTTATGAAATCAATCTTGGTTTACAGCAAACAACACTACTACATTTGTGTAGCACCTTTCAAGAGGACAACCCAAGGCGCTGGACAATCAGTGTTTCGGACCCGAGCTGGGGGGCAATAATAAATAAACAATTTACATTTACCTAGCATCTTTCACACTGAGAAAATGTGTCAAAGTCTTATCAAACAAGGTGTAGCCTAGTTTGCTTTATTACTAATAAATTATGAAAAACACAATAACTACAACTGGAATTTACCAATGAAATCTAGGTTAATCTCCAGTCAAATAAAAAGCCCTTTTGCTCCCAGCCCTTTTTCCCCACCACCATCTTTTCAAATTTGACCAGCTATTGAGCTCAATTCTGATTTACAATTGATCAGAGGCAACAAAACAATCAGAACTTTTTTTTCTTACACTAATAATAATCTTTGCATGTGATTTAGCCCCTTATCGCGTCTTCAAGACATCTCAAAGCGCTTCACAGAATATACTATAAAATGAATTGACTATACTTTGTGGCCAAAACAAAACTGATCCCACAGTCGATTTGCCTCGCCTCCTCCCTTGCCTCCTTCAAGACTCGTCTCAAGACCCTTCTCTTTGACTGTGCCTACGGTCATCCTCCAACCCCTACCCTCTCCACCCTCCAGATCCCAACCACCAGCTCAGATGCGGATCTCTGACTGTCCAGCAGCTTGGGATGTAATACTGACATGAAAGATTCTATACAATGTAATTTGTTGTTGTTGTTGATCATCCCTGTAGCTGGAGTCCTGTAGCTCAGTGGTTAGAGCACACGCTTTGCAAGCGAGAGACCTGAGTTCAATTCCAGGCAGAGGGCGAAACCTTGGGCAAGTTTCCTTACTCCACACAGAGCCTAATAATAATCCCTCCAAAACCAAAAACAATAATAAATTGGTCATTTTCAATCTACGACTGTTTGTGGGACATTGCTGTGCGCAATTGGCTGCCGCGTTTGCCCACAAATATACAGTCAATTCACTTTACAGTGTGTTCTGTGAAGCGCTTTGGGACGTCCTCCCGACGTGAAAAGAGCTATATCAAATGCAAGGATTATTATTATTATTATTATTATTATTATTATCCCGAGGTATACCCTTCCTATTTTCAATGATCCCTGAAGAAATTTGACAAAAACATAAAACGTTGACAATGGTGTTGAGAGAGAAAGAAAATCAACTCAACATTTCCCTTTCTCCAGAGAAAAAAAAACTTCTAATCTCAAAGAACTCTCGAATAAGCATCTCAACCTCACCCTCACACTTAAAATACAAACCATCCTATAAAGGCAATCACGACATATGGCTTTAAAATAATAATAATCCTTGCATTTGATATAGCGCTTTTCATGTCTTCTAGATGTCCCAAAGCACTTCACAGAATATACTGTAAAGTGAATTGACTGTGTATTTGTGGGCGAAACACTGCAGACAATTGTGCACAGCAGCGTCCCACAAACAGTTGCGGATTGAGTGACCAAATTGTTATTGAGGGATTATTATCAGGCATGTAGAATAAGGAAACTTGCCCAAGGCTTCATCCTTGGTTAAATTCATAAATTAAATTAAAATGGCCTTGCTTTGGATTTGCAAAGATCCTCTCCAATTCATATACAAATAAAACATAAGAAAACAAGTCCCCTTTACCATAGCTCTACAATACATTCAAATACTATAGGATGACTGGATTTTCCCCAGTAATAATCCTGCATTTGATATAGCGCCTGATCGCGTCTTCGAGACATCTCAAAGTGCTTCACAGCATATACTGTGAAGCGATTGGACTTTGTATTTTGTGGCCGAAACGCGGCAGCCGTCTGCGCACAGCAGCGTCCCACAGACAGCCTTGGAGTGAGTGACCGCCAATTATTATTATTAAGTTTTTTCAAAATTTGGTACAGAAACAAATGGCGAGAATTACAGCCAACACTTCCAAACATTTTTTAAAAAAAGCTTTCACACGGCACATTTCCTCCGTGAACACACAAGGGCGAGATCACACAAAAGAAGCTTAAAAAGCAAATAAAACACACGCACAAGACAAACACTTAAGCTTAAAGTCACGAAGGAGAAATGTGGAGTTACCATTACTTTGGAGGGGAATTTAGTGGAGGCACAACCCGTGACTTAAACCGTTACTAATACTTTCTACTTGGGCTGAATATTTTTTTTTGGGGGGGAAGAGAAAGTAATGTTTCTAAAAGTTTTGTTTAAAAAGAAATATAAATCTGCTGGAGCTGAGAGAGAGAGAGAGAGAGAGTGAGAGAGAGACACTCATACATTCTCTCTCTCTTCTCTCTCTCTCTCTCTTTAATGAGTTTGAAGCGGAGTTAAAGGGAGGGGTAGGAGGAGAAAGATTAGATTTTGTTACAGGTCATAAAATAAAAAGCTTCATCGTATGTACATATAATATACATTTAGATATCCTTTTTTTTTAAAAAACAAAATTACCGACAAAGTTGTGAGACATAAACACAGACCGACGGCGGATGGAGTTGCTCTCTCCCCTCCCGATCCTTCTCTGTGACCGTAAAAAGGAAAGTTTGTTTGAAAGCAGGTTAGAGAGAGAGAGAGCCCAGAACTCAGCCATGGCTGCAAACCTCCCCCCTCCCCCATCTCACCCCCTCTCCTCTCCCTGCCCCCTCCTCTCTCTCTCTCTCCCCCCCACTCCTCCTCTCTCTCTCTCCCCCCCACCCTCCTCTCTCTCTCACACCACTCCTCCCTCTCTCTCTCTCTCCCCCCTTCCCGTCTCTCCCCCCCCACCCCTCCTCCCTCTCTCTCTCTCTCTCTCCCCCCTTCCCGTCTCTCCCCCCCCACCCTCCTCCCTCTCTCTCTCCCCCTTCCGTCTCTCCCCCCCCACCCCCCTCCCTCTCTCTCTCTCTCTCCCCCTTCCCGTCTCTCCCCCCCCCCACCCCTCCTCCCTCTCTCTCTCTCTCTCCCCCCTTCCGTCTCTCCCCCCCCCACCCCTCCTCCCCTCTCTCCTCTCTCCCCCCCACCCTCCTCCTCTCTCTCTCCCCCCCTTCCCGTCTCTCCCCCCCCACCCCTCCTCCCTCTCCTCTTCCTCTCTCCCCCCTTCCCGTTCTCTCCCCCCCCCACCCCTCCTCCCTCTCTCTCTCTCTCCCCCTTCCCGTCTCTCCCCCCCCCCCCCTCTCCCTCTCTCTCTCTCCCCCCCCCCCTCCCTCTCTCTCTCTCTCTCTCCCCCCTTCCCGTCTCTCCCCCCCACCCCTCCTCCCTCTCTCTCTCTCTCCCCCTTCCCGTCTCTCCCCCCCCACCCCTCCTCTCTCTCTCTCCTCCCCCCTCCCGTCTCTCTCTCCCCCCCCAGTCCTCTCTCTCTATCCCCCTTCTCTCTCCCCCCCCACTAACCCCTCTTCCTTCTCTCCCCCCAGTCCTCTCTCTCCCCCCCCAGTCCTCTCTCCCCCCCCCAGTCCCTCTCTCCCCCCCCCCCCCACTCCCTCTCTCCCCCCCCCAGTCCTCTCTCCCCCCCCCCAGTCCTCTCTCTCTACCCCCCCCCCCCTTCTCTCTCTCTCTCCCCCCACCCCCCTCTCTCTCTCTCCCCCCCCCCCAGTCCTCTCTCCCCCCCCCACTCCTCTCTCCCCCCCCCCAGTCCTCTCTCTCCCCCCCCCCCCCCCCCAGTCCCTCTCTCCCCCCCCCAGTCCTCTCTCTCTCCCCCCCCCCCCCCCCAGTCCTCTCTCTCTCCCCCCACCCTCCTCTCTCTCTCTCTCCCCCCTACCCCTCCTTCTCTCTCTCCCCCCCACCCCTCCTCTCTCTCTCTCTCTCCCTCTCTCCCCCCCACCCCTCCTCTCTCTCTGTCTCTCCCCCCCCACACCCAGTCCTCTCTCTCTCCCCCCCAACCCCTCCTTCTTTCTCTCTCCCCCTTCCCGTCTCTCTCCCCCAACCCTCCCTCTCCCCCCCCCACCCCAGTCCTCTCTCTCTGTCTCTCCCCCCCCACACCCAGTCCTCTCTCTCTCTCTCTCCCCCCACTAACCCCTCCTCTCTCCCCCCACACCCAGTCTCTCTCTCCCCCCAACCCCTCCTTCTCTCTCTCTCTCCCCCTTCCCGTCTCTCTCCCCCCAACCCTCCTCTCTCCCCCCCCACCCCAGTCCTCTCTCTCTCCCCTCTCTCTCTCCGCTTCATCGCCACACTCTCTCCTCATCATATATAAACTAAATATCTAATGCAATATATAACATAAGCCGCGCTCACCGAGTCCGCGAGGCGAAGGTGACAGTTACTGGAGTCAGACAACCGCTATCTCGCGCTCCCAGCACTGCCCCCCGCCCTCAGCCAATCACACTGCCCCCCGCCCTCAGCCAATCACACTGCCCCCGCGCCCTCAGCCAATCACACTGCCCCCCGCCCTCAGCCAATCACACTGCCCCCCCGCCCTCAGCCAATCACACTGCCCCCCGCCCTCAGCCAATCACACTGCCCCCCGCCCTCAGCCAATCACACTGCCCCCCGCCCTCAGCCAATCACACTGCCCCCCGCCCTCAGCCAATCACACTGCCCCCCTGCCCTCAAGCCAATCACACTGCCCCCCCGCCCTCAGCCAATCACACTGCCCCCCCGCCCTCAGCCAATCACACTGCCCCCGCCCTCAGCCAATCACACTGCCCCCCCGCCCTCAGCCAATCACACTGCCCCCCGCCCTCAGCCAATCACACTGCCCCCCCCCGCCCTCAGCCAATCACACTGCCCCCCGCCCTCAGCCAATCACACTGCCCCCCGCCCTCAGCCAATCACACTGCCCCCCACCCTCAGCCAATCACACTGCCCCCGCCTCAGCCAATCACACTGCCCCCCCTCAGCCAATCACACTGCCCCCCCTCAGCCAATCACACTGCCCCCCCCCTCAGCCAATCACACTGCCCCCCCCGCCCTCAGCCAATCACACTGCCCCCCGCCCTCAGCCAATCACACTGCCCCCCGCCCTCAGCCAATCACACTGCCCCCCCCCGCCCTCAGCCAATCACACTGCCCCCCCACCCTCAGCCAATCACACTGCCCCCCGCCCTCAGCCAATCACACTGCCCCCCACCCTCAGCCAATCACACTGCCCCCCGCCCTCAGCCATCACATTGCCCCCGCCCTCAGCCAATCACACTGCCCCCCACCTCAGCCAATCACACTGCCCCCCGCCCTCAGCCAATCACACTGCCCCCGCCCTCAGCCAATCACACTGCCCCCCCACCCTCAGCCAATCACACTGCCCCCCGCCCTCAGCCAATCACACTGCCCCCCCACCCTCAGCCAATCACACTGCCCCCGCCCTCAGCCAATCACACTGCCCCCCCACCCTCAGCCAATCACACTGCCCCCGCCCTCAGCCAATCACACTGCCCCCCGCCCTCAGCCAATCACACTGCCCCCCGCCTCAGCCAATCACACTGCCCCCGCCCTCAGCCAATCACACTGCCCCGCCCTCAGCCAATCACACTGCCCCCCGCCCTCAGCCAATCACACTGCCCCGCCCTCAGCCAATCACACTGCCCCCGCCCTCAGCCAATCACACTGCCCCCCGCCCTCAGCCAATCACACTGCCCCCCGCCCTCAGCCAATCACACTGCCCCCCGCCCTCAGCCAATCACACTGCCCCCCGCCCTCAGCCAATCACACTGCTCCCCCATCCTCAGCCAATCACACTGCCCCCCGGTGCCCTCAGCCAATCACACTGCCCCCCGCCCTCAGCCAATCACACTGCCCCCCCACCCTCAGCCAATCACACTGCCCCCCGCCCTCAGCCAATCACACTGCCCCCCGCCCTCAGCCAATCACACTGCCCCCGTGCCCTCAGCCAATCACACTGAACCCCCCCACCCTCAGCCAATCACACTGCCCCTCCACCCTCAGCCAATCACACTGAATCCCCCCACCCTCAGCCAATCACACTGCTCCCCCACCCTCAGCCAATCACACTGCTCCCCCACCCTCAGCCAATCACACTGCCCCCTAGCCTCAACCAATCACACTGCCCCACCCTAAGCCAATCACACTGCCCCCTAGCCTCAACCAATCACACTGCCCCACCCTCAGCCAATCACTGCCCACTTACCCTCAGCAATCAGACTGCTCTTGCCCTCATCCAATCACAGTACCTCCTGCCCTCAGCCAATCAGACTGCCCCCACCCTCATCCAATCAGACTGCCACCTGCCATCAGCCAATCAGACTGTGCCCCTCCCCATCCACGCACAGGTAATCATACTGATCCCCAACGTGCCCTCAGCCAATCAGTGTGGGTGCTGAGGGATGGATGGATTTGGGGGTAAGGGTGAGGGGTTTGACACCGATACGATGGGAAACTGGGGATGACAATGATTGGGCGTTTGGTACGGGTCTGAATGATGGATCGCGAGAGACCTGAGAGGACTGCATTGGGTAAGTCTAAGTGGGATGTGACGAAAGCACGAACGAGTGTTCGGTTTGAGGTCATGGCAGAAGTGGAGGTGAAGGACGGTGGTCAGGGCGATGACGAAGAAAGGAAAGCAGGTGATTGAACCTCATGCCAAGGTTGGGCACTGGTTCGGAGAGTTAGAGATAATGGCCGGGGAGGTTGAGGAGGTAGGGTGTGTGGCACTTATAAATAAGCCCCACAGTGTTGGTTTAGAATTATTTTCTTTCTTTTTCGACCGTGCCTCCAGCCATCCGCCCACCCTCACTCCCCCCCACCACCCACCCCCTCCTAACACCAACTCTCAACTCAGTTCCAAAAACCCCTGACTGTCCAGTGCCCTGGGACATCTTTCTGACATGAAGGACGGTATCCAAGTGTAATGTGTTGTTGTATTTTGACATTGCTACTCACCGCCAGGGGACTGTGCTATGAGCAATGATTAGGCAAGCTATTCGGCTCGTCAATCCTGAGAGAAAATGACTCAAAGGTAGACTTTATAGAGGGTAATTAATGACTGGAACAAAATTGCCAGGAAGCGTGGGTGGGACCAGGGCATTGGACTCATTCAAATCTGGAAGGATGAGATTAAATGGATTGAAGGGTGTTCTTCATCCAAACCAATCTTGTGATCTTATACTCAACCTGTTAACCTTCCTAGTGTACAATCAATGACATTCCTGATACCTCCATCCTCCCAAATCCAACCCGCAACAACCCTCAAATGTCCAGCGCCTTGGGACGACCTCCCGACCTGAACAGTGCTATATGAGTGTAATTTGTTGTTGTTGTGTACTTTATCCCCGTGTTTTCCCCTCGTCTTCTTCTGCCCTAAATAGCACCTCTTAAAAAGCACCAAGAGCTCCGAGCTGCTGGCCTGCGTGAAGGGCAGTATATAAATCCAAGTTGTTGTTCTCCTTCATTGCACCATTTCAGTTCTGAAAAGTCAGGAAGAATCGCCCAAGTGCTGATTCAGCAAGTTGTGGATTTTCAACATCTGCAGTTCCGTCTTCTGGGGGAAAATACATTATTCAAATTAGCCTCATCAGCTTCATATATAAAAAAAACAGCCCAGCTCTGTGATTTTATATATATATATATATATATATATATATATATAAGCCCTTGTTGGCATTTTGAGAAATGGTAGGGGTTAGATATTACACTTTAACAGAAGGAACAAGAATCCTTTAAAAGTAGGGAAGTAGTTGTGGTTTCATTTGATGGGAGAAAACGATGCACGAAAAATAGGCGGATCGCTTTTTCTTAAAAAGAAGAAAATTTGAAAAATATAATAATTTGGTCATTCAACCCACGACTGTTTTGGGACATTGCTGCGTGCAATCGGCTGCCACGTTTCGCCCACAAATATATCGTCAATTCACTTTATAGTATATTTCTGTGAAGCACTTTGAGGCATCTTGAAGGTGCAAATACAAGGATTTTTTTTTCTTTTTCTTCGAAATAATAACGCTATATGCAGTAATGGGCAATATGCAGTATATAAGGTATGTTGACAGGTATGTCAGTCTACTTCTCATCTCTACAACTGAATTATTAGTGGTGTGCAAGTGCTAAACTCATTGTGGGTGTTCTTTACACTTGGCAGACACATCATGCATGAACTGATAGAGACAGAACGAGTCTATGTGGAAGAGCTACTGAGTATAATCGAGGTAAGGAAAAAGCCTCATACGCACTTCACGTAGATGCATATTTCAAAATGAAATCATACAGCCTTTTGCAATCTCAATACGATTTTGACACAGTAAGCATTCAATACATTTGATAATTAACAAAATATAATCATTTGGTCACTCACTCCATGACTATTTGTGGGACATTGCTGTGCACAATACATAAGTCAATTCACTTTACAGAATATTCTGTGAAGCACTTTGAGACGTCTCGAAGACGTGATGAGGGGTTGTATCAAATGCAAGGATTATTATTATTATATACACACCCGACATGTCAAAACATCTCAAAGTGTTCACAGCTCCCAAGTAAAACAAGGATGTAGATAAATATTTTAGCTAAATGTAAACAAAGCAATATCCCATAAATATTCTTGATGTGAATTAATTTTTACGTTGACTGCATGCTTACAAAATACATTTTGCATTGTATGTATATTAATTTGTATTTTTATTAACCTCCAACCCGCAATGGTTGACGATGCATGTTGAGTAGTTGCAAAGAGTGTTGAAGAAGTTTCTAGAAGAGAACGTAAAACTAAACAGAGAAAAGTGCTTAATTGGAGTGAAGGAGGTCAAGTATTTGGGAAACGTAATTAGAGTTTTTTTTTGGTCAGCCAGGTGTCTGACACATGCAGAATTCCATCACCGTTGCTTAAGAGTCTCCAAACCAAACTGAGAATTCAATGAATCCCACCTACACATGGAAATCCCAGAGATAGATTGTCGGAATGGAATGCGCTCTCTCTCTCTTCCTGGTGGAACGCATCCTGCTTACCTAATTCCGGAAAGTATTAGGCGCAGGTTGGCAAGAGCCAAGGCTTAGGGACTCCAGAGTGTGCGTCGGGGTAACTGCTGAAGACTGACCAGCTAAAACTGCATGATTACACATAAATTTATTACACATAATAAAGGGTGGAGAGTACTGTAGATCTGACGAAAGTAGAAGCAATAACATAGGTGTGAGCACCCACTGATAATAAGAGGAGTTAAAAGATTAATAGGGGATAATGAAATGGGGTTGTGCACTTCATACCAAGGGTGACAGATTTAGGAAATATAAAAGGACACTAGGAGATGGGGCAAAGGGTGTGCTTATTGCATAGATTTGGAATGTATTGGTTTGCATCACGGAGTCTTATTGACCCGAGCACTTGACTCGCAAGCGAGAGGACCTGGGTTTGATTCCTAGGCAGGGCGAAACATTAGGCAAGTTTCCTTACTCCACACGTCTGTTTACCAACTGGGGGCAATAATCCCTTTTTAAAAAGAGTAATAAAAAAATAAAAAACGTGGTCATTAAATCATGTTTACGGGACACCGCTGTGCCAATATATATTGGGCAATATCAAATGCAAGGATTATTATTGTTTTCTATACTAATAAGGACAAACTGTCTGTGTGTCTGTATTTCCACTAATAACGCAATAACCAATTGACGCAGAGGCGTGATTTATACCTCATCGGAAATGTTTTGCATACGGGAGTCATGGGCATTTTTGGGGGCATCTCTTATCGTTTAGCTATGTTTAAAAAATGCTTCAATTAAGCTCCAAAATATGAGGCATGATTGGTATACTGCAACAAACTAGCGACAGAGGAAAGCACACACCCTTCTAAAGAGATCCACCTGTACTAATATATTCTGCAACACATGTATCGCAGTTTTTTCGGGTTTGTCAGTCCTCACAACAGGAGTCCACCCACTGAGTCTTCCCACTCAGTCCTCTCATAGGAGACCTCCCAATATATGCATTTTCTAAGCAAAAATCAAGACTTTCAAGGACAAATAAAAATGCTAGACAGAAGAGAGAATGATAATCAAATGAAACTGAAGAACAAAGAACAGCGTGGCTGGACTTCAATGCTGAAAGGACTGCAAGAGCAAGGCAAAATGAGTTGCCCGCTCAAAAGAACAGCACGGCTGGACTTCGACGCAGAAAGGCCTGGTGTATACACAGAGTTTTTGGCATGTTAAATGGTTTGTGAGTGCTATCACTGAAATCTACATTCCATATTGGATCCTTTGGTTGCAAGCATAGCAACGGGTACGGCTAGTATTATAAGCTGAGTAACATAATAACAGCACTTTGAGTACTTATTACAGTCTTGTTGTTATGGCCATCCACATATCAACAACAGTTGCTGTTTGTCACTCGCTCAGAGTTGCATACTTGACGCCCAGTTTATGACGTCAAAGTTAAATGGATAATCTTGACCAGATGACTGAGGTCCACAAGGAGGTCCTCACCTCGTGACCAATTTCGCCCACAAATATACAGTCAATTCACTTTACAGCATATTCTGTGAAGCGCTTTGAGATGTCTGGAAGACTTGAAAAGCCCTATATCAAATGCAAGGATCATTCATTATATTATAATCACCGTCTAGTTCCTTATCTGCTGGCAATGTGCCTCATTCCCAAGCATAAGCTGTCAGCACAACTCTGGTCAAAGTTTCCAGAACTCTTTGGATTGTATTGACACTCCATTCAGGGATCCCTGCAGTGCCCATGTTAAATAAGAATAAGAATAATCCTTACCTTTGGTACAGCACCTTTCACGTCAAGAGGATGTCCCAAACTGGGACCAGAGTCACTGTTGTCAGGATTTACTGTACGTGTGCTTCAACGATTAAAAAGCATTTACTCATCATTAGATTGTTGACTTGGGCGCCAGTCGGCCTCAAAACCACCTGAAATGTACATGTGTTTATTGATAGTGTAATTGTACTGCAAGTGAATCATTTACAGCGACGATAAAAAAAACCAAACTATAACCCTAGTATCTATTATTAATTATTGCAATCTGTGATTGTAGTTATGCAACAGAGATGTGAGCATAGCCATGGTGCTAGCCTCCACTTCACACTCACTTCTAGGCTAAAATTAGTGAGAATTTCAGTTTAAAACCGTAAAATAATTCCACCCCGTGAAAGCGTATCTACTGGAACGCTGAGGGAAAAGAGGAAGTTTTTCAGACAGGCCACCCTGACAACAGTGACTCCGTACCAAGTTTCAGGGTCCCATGCTGCTAAAATTACCAGTCCACAGAGGAGCCAGGTGTGGATCACCAACTGACTGACCCACCAAACACACTGACGCACCCACCCACCCACTTACTCACTCATTCACCCACCCACCCACCCACTCACTCACTCACTCACCCACTCACTCATTCACCCACCCACCCACTCACTCACCCACTCATTCACCCACCCGCCCACCCACTCACTCACCCACTCACTCATTCACCCACCCGCCCACCCACTCACTCACCCACTCACTCATTCACCCACCCGCCCACCCACTCACTCACCCACTCACTCATTCACCCACCCAGCCACTCACTCACCCACTCACTCATTCTCCCACCCACGCACTCACCTCATTCACCTACCCACTCACTCACTCACTCACCCACCCACTCACCCATCCACCCAATCACTCACTCACTCACTCACTCGCCTACCCACCCACCCACCAGCCTGCTCGCTCGCTCGCTCACTCACATTTGGTTTACATTTCGACAATCAGTTGCCATTCCTGTCTAGCTGGGCTGACATTTGGTTTGCACAGTGATTTAGGTTCCAATTTCCCTAATATCCCCAAATTGGACATGATTTTCAGGGCACGATTCAAGCACACAGTCGCTACACTTTGCAGTAAATCCCAGAAAGCGCTTTGAAAAGTCCTCCTGAGGTGAAAGCACAATATCACATTAATGGTATGAATGTTATTGTGCCTTATTCAGGGTTATGCGACTGAGATGGAGAATCCTGAGCTGGTTCCCCTGATCCCACTTGCCCTGGAGAACAAAAAAGAAGTCCTCTTTGGGAACCTTCCAGAAATCTACGATTTTCACAACAAGTAAACTTCTTTTCTTATTTTTGGAATCCTGTAGCATAGTGGTTTACTACACTCGCCTCGTAAACGAGAGGATCTGGGTTTGATTCCTGGGCAGGGCGAAACCTTTAGGCAAGTTTCCTTACTCCACACGCCTCTGTTTCGCTCGCAGTAAGTAGGAACCCAGTTCTTAGTCGATTGGTGGATGGCTTTTTGGGGTAATAATCCCTCAAAAAAAATTGGGTCACTGAATCCATGATTGTTTGTGGGATAGTATTGGCTGCCACGTTTTACCCACAAAATACACAGTCAATCCATTTACAGAATATTCAGTGAAGCGTTTTGAAACGACTCATTGATGTAATAAAACGCTATATCAAATGGAAGGATTATTATTATATCCTCGCCCGTCTCTTCTCTCCTCCTCTCCAACATCCCCTCCCCACCACCTCTACGAGTCCCACATCATTTACAGCTGCCGCCTACCCCCTGAATGGAATCATTGTACAAAGTGTTTTCCCACCCTGAAAAAAACTCCTTTAATTTTATTCGTTGGGAGAGAGGACGCAAAAAAAATAAGGGATTTGTTGTCCCGTTTATTCTTTTATATCTCCCCTTAAATCTCTCAAGTTGTAAAGCGATTCCAAATTCCATTCAAATCACATTTGCTCGAAATTTGAAGGGATGCAAAACAGCACTGATGGGAGACTTTATCCAGTTATTGTATTGTAGTGATGCTTGTGTTACCATTTTGCTCTTTAATATGCTGCAGTGCTAGGTAACCATTGCTGTGACATTTGTCTGTACCTCGGTGTTGCTCTACACAATGGTTAGACCTTGGGACTGAATCAGTTAAATGCCAATTTAGGTTCAGCTTGGCTCAGTTGGTAGCACTGTAAGCCTCTGAGATTTGTTACTTGGTCAGCCGGGTGTCTGACACGTGCGGATACCCATTTCCATGCTTAAGAGTATCCAAACCAAACAGAGAATTCCATTAAACTGAGGACACGTTTGCCTGTTCAGGTATTTGTTAAAGATCCCACGGTGCTACTCCAAAGGTTTCTCCCGGTGTCCTGGCCAACAATCGCTTAAAAATTGTCTATTCACTTCACAATGCCCCACAAACGATGCCCTCTGTTTGTTGGGCCTTGTTGTGCGTAGAATATCCATAAGAAACCTAGAACGACAACAAAGTTACATTTGTAAAATGCCTTTCATGTTGGGAGAATATCCCAAGGTGCTGAACAGTTGGGAAATATACAGTCAATTTACTTTACAGTATATTCTGTGAAGCACTTTGGGACGTCTAGAAGACTTGAAAAGCGCTATATCAAATGCAAGGATTATTATTATATTATAAGTGACAGTGAACATTAAGAGAGTGAGTCAAATACCAGATATGGTCAACTGCACTGAGACTGATAATGATTAAAGTCTATTGTTACTTTCAAGGATATTTCTCAAAGAGCTGGAAAACTGCACAGAAAATCCTGAACTTGTAGGGACGTGTTTCCTAAAAAGGGTAAGTTAAATACTTTTACGCTGCGATTTTAATTTTCTGAGGCCCAACTGGGCTTATTGTAATGTGTTAGATTTGTGTCCAGAGGCACATAAGTGTAGCAATAGCATGTGATATCATGGGGATGTCATCTGCAGACATGGGGTACACTTCAACATGTATGCGGACGACACCCAACTCTATTTTTCCACCTCACTTTGTGACCCCCAGTCCCCTGATGTTCTGTCAGCCTGCCTGTCAAGAGTTGGATGAGCACGAATTTCCTTCAGCTAAATGTTGACGAGACGGAAACCATACTCTTTGGTTCTCGTCAACGTCTTCAATCGCACAGTTCTCACCTCCTCCACCTACCCGACCTGCCCCGTAGACACGGTCAAAGAGGAAAGTCTTCAGGCGCGACCTGAAGATGGAGAAGAAGGGGGCAAGGTGGAGGGATGGAGAAAGAGTGTTCTAGAGTTTCAGAATAGCACAAGTTAAAGGCTACAGCTACCTACTGACCAAGACACATTGTTTCTGTCCATGGAGTAGACACCATTACTGCTTCAACAGCTCATCAAACTTGGCCACAAACTCCCAGCCTCTCAGTCGGGTCAAGACACCGAGCCTTTATGAAAAGGGGCTTCTAAAATCATTTTAAAATCAATGGGACACTGCTGTGCGCAATTGGCTGTGTGTCGCCCATGAAATATGCAGTCAATTCACTTTACAGTACATTCTGTGAAGCGGTGTGAGACATCCTGACGATGTGATGAGGCGCTATATCAAAGGCAAAAGATTATTATTATTATTTTAGCATTTTTTTCTAACAGAAAGAAGATTTACAGATTTATGAAAAGTACTGTCAGAACAAACCGCGCTCTGAGGCTCTCTGGCGGCAATGTGGAGACTGCCAGTTCTTCCAGGTACTTTGTTTTCTCTCTGCATCTGTTCATTGCTCCCTCTTTCACAGTGTGCGTCAGCCTGGCTCAGTCGCGCTCTCGCTTCTGAATCAAAAGGAAGCCCCCACATCGGGATTTGGAATCACGTAGTCTAAGATGAACTCCAATGCAGTGCTTGGGGTGTGTTGCATTGTCGGAGATGCTGTCCTTTGGGTGAGATGTTAGATCAAGGTCTCGTCTGCCTGTTCAGGTGGATGTTAAAGATCCCATGGCGCAAGTCAAAAAGAGTAGGGGGTTTCTCTCTACCAGTGTCCTGGCCAACAATCCCCCAAATAAAATTGGTCGCTCAATCCACAATTCTTTGTGGAAGACTGCTGTGCGCAATTGGCTACTGCGTTTCGCCCACAAAATACACAGTCAAACCCAGTTTACATTATGTCCTATGAAGCGCTTTGAGATGTCTCAACAATGTGTCAAATGTAAGGATTATTAGTAGTAATGGTATGGTTTCCTTTAGTCGTTCCCCCCACCCCAACACAAAGTTCAACAAGCCTGGTTCAATTTTCAGACAGCGAGTTGTTCGGATCTGGAATGCATTGCCTGAAATTTTAGTGGAAGCCGATTCGATGAAAACTTTTAAGAGAGAAGCAGATAATTATTTGGGGAGGACAAGTTTGCAGGGCTATGGGAAGAGCGCGGGGCAATGAGATTGATTTGGAAGCTCTTTTCAAAGAGCCGGCACAGACACAATGGGCCGCATGGCCTCCTTCTGTGCTGTATAATTCTATGATTCTATGAATTGGCAGCACTCTTGACTCCAAGGATTCAAGTCCCACACTGAGCTCATGTAGTCAAGGCCGACACTCCAGTGTAATGCTGAGCATGCACTACATTACTAGAACATTAGAAACAAACACTGGAGGCAACACAACGCGCAAACTATTTGATGCCTTCAAAGGTCCTTTTGAAACCTGAGTTACTTTTCCATGTGTTTCATTCCAGGAATGTCAACGCAGACTGAGCCACAAGCTCCCACTCGATACCTACCTGCTGAAACCAGTCCAAAGGATTACAAAATATCAGCTTCTCCTGAAGGTACTGAGAGTTGTCATACTTGGAAGCTCCCATCTGGTTAGATCAGTGGTGAGCCAAGGACAACCCTGAAGAACATGACACCGATTTAAAATAGTTGTTAAAAGAAACAGAAGGAAGCTGAAGAGAATTTTTTTTTCACAGTGAGTTGTTGGCCTCTGGAATGCGTTGCCTGAAAGGGTGTGGAAGCCGATTCGATAACAACTTTTAAGAGAGAAGTAGATAATTATTTGAGGAGGACGAGTTTGCAGGGCTACGGGGAGAGCGGGATTGATTTGGGCAGCACTTTTCAAAGAGCTAGCACAGACACATTGGGCCGAACGGCCTCCTTCTGTGCTGTATAATTCTATACAGAATAAACAGCTGAACCCAATGTGGATTGGATTCCTGTAGCGTAGTGGTTAGAGCACTCACCTCGCAAATGAGAGGACCCGAGTTCAATTCCCGGGTAGGATGAAACCCTAGGCAAATTTTGTTACTCCACATGCCTCTGTTTACCTAGCAGTAAGCAGGAAGCTGGTTGTTAGTCGATTAGCAAACTGCTTTCCAGGGGTAATAATCCCTCCTAAAAAAATAATAATAATAATAATTTGGTCACTCAATCCATGACTGTTTGTGAGACTGCTGTGTGCAATTGGCTGCTGTGTTTCACCCACAAAAATATACCATTAATTCAATTCATAGTATATTTTGATAAGGTGTTGTATCTAGTGCAAGGATTACTATCATTATTATTATATAACGCCTTATCATATTGTTTACATGCCTTAAAGTGCTTTGCAGAATATATTGTAAAGTGAATTGACTGTTTATTTTGTGGGCGAAACGTAACAGCTAATTGCAAGCAGCAGTGTCTCACAAAGAGTCATGGATTGAGTTAACACATCTTTTTGAGGGATTATTGCCCCTGGGAAAGCAATCAGCCAATCGACTAACAACCAGGTTCCTACTTACTGCTGGGTAAACAGAGGCATCTGTGTGGAATAAGAAAACTTGCCAAACATTTTGCCCCATCCGCGAATCAAACCCGGGTCCTCTTGCTTGCTAGGCGAGCGCTCTAATCATTACGCCATACGTATCTCTAATACCAAGTGATTGATTCCCTCAGGAAATGCTGAAGTGCAGCAAGAACTCGGAAGGGACGGCCGAGCTGGAGGAGGCGCTGGAAACCATGATCAGTATCATCAAATCTGTCAACGACTCCATGCACCAGATTGCTATCACTGGGTTTGAGGTAAGGGTGACACTATTCAGCACAGTAAGCAGACTGCTCAGCCCATCCTGTCCGTGTCGTTGCTCTCTCTATTATTTCTAAAACCTTTTATTAATCTCACTTGCCAGCTCTTTCCCTGTATCCCTTAATGATTTTGCTTGCCCGGTGCTTTAAGCTCTCCGGGATGCTACCCCGCATAGAAGGAGCTACGTAAATGCAAGTTGTTGTTGTTGTTGTTGTTGCTTGCCCTGTTCCCTTCTGAGTGGTTGAGTCTTCCGTTAACAATTCGGACAATCCTCGCAATCGATGCTTGACCTTTCACGTCGGGAGAATGTCTCGGAGCCCTTCAACTTGCACTTACATAGCGCCCTCCACACAGTGGTGGACCTTGACTCCGAGTCAGGGTGAGGGAGGGGGTGAGGAGGGAGGTGGCCGTAAGCATGGTCAAAGAGGAAGGTTTCTAGGCAGGAATGCGTTGGAATAATCCAAGCGGGAGGTCACAAACAGACGCACAAGGGTTTTGGCTGCATTTGGGGTAAGGTACGGGTGGAGGCGGGCAATGTATCGGAGGTGGAAGAAGGCGGTCCTGGTCAGGGACCAGATGTGGGGGAGGAAGGTCAAACTGGACGCCTAGATTGCTCACTGGTTCGGTGAGTCTGAGGGAGAGCCCAAGGAGGTTGAGGAGTTCAGATCTGCAGGAGTGAAGATGTTGATAGGAGCCAAGGAATGTGGCTTCCGTCTTGTCCACATTCAGCTGCAGAAAGTTTGTACTCATTCAGGCCCTGATGTCTGCCAGACAAGCTGATAGCAACTTTCAAAAGGGAATTAGATAGGTACTTGAAAAGGAAAAATTTTCAGGGCTATGGGTAAGAGCGGAGGAGTGGGGTTGATTTGGAAGCTCTTTTCAAAGAGCCGGCACAGGCATGATGGGCCGAATGGCCTCCTTCTGTGCTGTAATATCCTATGATTTTATCGACGTATTTGCAGCAATCACCATGTATCTCACACACACACCACACAGACAATAGTTTTAAGGTGAGACTTGAGACTAGAACATTTTGGTCAAAAAAGAAAGATACCACAAAAAATGACAGGTTTTGACAGGAAATGACCCAATCTCTAATTCTCAGAATTCACACACAAGAGTGTGTGCCTGTGGTTTATGGTCAACCCGCCTTGCTTATTGCACAGACACCTTGACTCAATGCCTCGGCTGCCTCACTAAAAGCTCAAAACCCTATATAATCCTGACCAATCCCACTTTGGTCAGATCCTGCGAGTTGATTAACGCCTTATTCCTAAGAGGGCAAATGTCAACGGTGTAAGATAATAACAATCCTTTTAAGAAATCAATGGCAATTGCAAAAGAGCCAATCAGAAGAAGACAGGATGTATAAAAGTACACTGAGAGTGGGACAAAAGAGTGTGGGTTTAAGGTAGGGGTATATAATGAGCTGAGAATAAAAGAATAACCATCTTTGCATTTGATATAGCATCCTATCACGTTGTTGAGACGTCCCAACAAAGTGCTTCACAGAATAATAATAATAATAATCCTTGCATTTGATATAGCGCGTTTCACGTCTTCTAGACGTCCCAAAGCGCTTCACAGGATATACTGTAAAGTGAATTGACTGTATATTTGTGAGCGAAATTACTTAAATCAATAATTAATTAATACAACAGTTTTGAGGAACGAGAAACATTACAAATGGTATGTGTGGATATCAGTGAAGATGGGTTTGTTCTTGACTGAGAAACCACCCACCTCTTCCCCCTTCTCCCCACCCTCCCATTGCCCCCCCCACCCCCACCCAGTTGACAATAGAAGCTGTGTGGTTTTAGCTGGTTAGACGCCAGCAGTTAACCCAACGCACACTTTGGTATCTCCAAGCCTTGGCTCTTGCCAACCTCTGGCAGAATTAGGTGAGCAGGAGTTCCGTTCTGTTCTTTTACACACAGGGAGACTTGAATGACCTGGGGAAGCTGCTGATGCAAGGATCTTTCAACGTGTGGACCGACCACAAGAAAGTGCAGAGCAAGGTGAAGGATCTGGCCCGCTTCAAGCCCATGCAGAGGCACCTGTTCCTTTACACTAAACTGCTGCTGTTCTGCAAGAGGCGAGAAGAGAACGCGGACGGACACGAGAAGTCCCCATCGTACGGCTTCAAGCATTCACTGAAGGTACGACTGACTGCGAGGGCGTTCAGCAATACTGGTCACTGCGTTGTGGGTTCATTAACCTCTGGTGATCAGTCGCACTCTCACCTCGGAGTCAGACAGTTGTGAGTTCAAGCTCCCAGGTCGGGACTTGGAACTAGTATACTCCAATACGGTACTTTACTGTCAGAGGCACCGTGCTTCGGAAAAGATATTAAACCGAGGTCCCGTCTGTGCCCTGTTACAAGTGGACGTGGCACTATTTATGATAATATAATTAGAATAATCCTTGCAACTGATATAATAATAATAATAATAATAATCCTTGCATTTGATATAGCGCTTTTCACGTCGGGAGGACGTCCCAAAGCGCTTCACAGAACACACTGTAAAGTGAATCACTTTATCACGTCGTCGCGACGTCTCAAAGCGCTTCACAGAACATACTGTAAAGTGGAGTGACTGTGCATTTTGTGGGCGAAACACGGCAGCCAGTAACGTATAGCAGTTTCCCACAAAATGAAAAGCTAAGGAAATTCCTCTCTCTCCCGGTGTCCTGACTGACAATCCTCCCAGATAAAATCGGCCATTCGTTTTACGACTGTTTCCGGGACACAGCCGTACGCAAATTGGCTGCCGTGTTCACCCACAAAACAAACACAGTGACTGCGCTTTGCAATACATCCAGTGAAGCGCTTTGACGTAAAATTATTATAACGAGTGAGAAGACCATTAACATTGCGGCTTAAGATGTCATTATAAAGGAGTGTTCATTGTACTGGGCTTAGCCGTGGAAATAACTCTGATGCCCACTCCATGCTTTCAGATGAGTGCGGTTGGCATCACGGAGAACGTAAAGGGAGATATCAAGAAGTTTGAGATCTGGTACAACGGCAGGGAGGAGGTGTACATCATTCAGGTGAGGAACACCCAAACCTATTGCTGTTGCCTCACCAATACAGGTCAGAGGCAACTGCCCTAACATAGCACTGGCTGTTTGGCCATCATTCCCTGAACTGTGCTAGCCTTGTAACCCTTGTAATCCCCATGTAAGGTGTTGTATTAATGCAAGTTGTTCTTGTCACATCGGGAGCACATCCCAAGTCGCTGGACAGTCAGGGATTTGTACCCGAGTAGGGGATTGGGATCAGGAGGGGTGGAGGTCAGGAAGGGTTGGGGCAGGAGGGTGACCTACTCCCACCCTCCCTGACCTCCACCCCTCATGATCCCAATCCCCTACTCGGGGGTTGTCACTCACACACACAGTAAGGGGGAGAGGTTTTGAAATCTGCTTGAGAACTAAGCATCTTTTCAATAATCTTGTCGAATTCCCGTCCGCAAACTCGTAATGGAAAAAATCTTCTCAACAGGCATCTTCCGTGGAGCTGAAGAACCTCTGGGTGTCTGAAATCAGGAAAGTGCTGACAGGACAACTGCAGGCCTACAGAGGTAAAGTTCCTCACGCTGTCCCTCACGTGGGATTCCTGTAGCTCAGTGGTTAAAGCACTCGCCTCACAAGTGAGAAGACCTGGGTTCGATTCCCAGACAGGGCAAAACCTAAGGCAAGTTTCCTTAATCCACACACCTGTTTACCCAGCAGTAAGTAGGAACCTGGTTGTTAGTCGATTGGTGGATCGCTTTCCAGGGATAATAATACCTCAAAATAAAAAATAACAATAATTTGGTGAATCAATCCACAACTGTTTGTGGGATGTTTCGTTTCGCCCACAAAATATACTTTACAATATATTCTGGGAAGGGCTTTTTCATAGACATGATTAGGCATTATATCAAATGCAAGGATTATTATTTTTTGTTATATTATTTTACACGTGTCTTTTGGCTTTTGCTCATTGCCACTATTGTAAAGGTGACAAGCACCTCCGTGTTTTGTTCCTTGAAAGGGAATTGGGATCACACACACGGTTTCTGTTCCGAACAAGAGGGGAGTTTCTCTCTCCCGGTGTCCTGGCCTACAATCTATCTCCTTTCCCCCCCTCTCCCCTCCTTGGTAAAATAATTATTACCCTTGCATTTGATATAGGGCCTTATCACACCATTGAGACGTCTCAAAGTGCTTCACAGAATATTTTCAAAAGTGTAGTGACTGTGTATTTTGTGGGTGAAACGGGGCAACCAATTGTGCACAGCAGTGTCCCACAAACAATTGTGGATTGAGTGACCGCATTTGTTTTTTTAGGAGGAGTTATTACCCCCAGAAAGCGATCCGGCAATCGACTAACAACCTGGTTCCTATTTACTGCTAAGTAAACAGAGGTGAATGGAAACTTGTCTAAGGTTTCACCCTACTTGGAAACCGAACCCAGGTCTCTTGCTTGTGTGGCGCGGGTGCTAACCACTATGCTGCTGATTGTATTCTATTGCGGGACAAGTCAAAAATAAATTGTCTGCTACATTCACCCATAAAGCACGTAATCGCTACATCTGACAGTATATCCTGTGATGCGCTTTGACACGTCTGCCTGATGCGAAATGTGCCAGAATCTGATCAGTAATTTCCCACAAACGGGTAGGAAACTGCACCACTCGATTCAGTCACCTACTGACTGGGGGTTAGCAGCCTGGGGGGTGGTGGGGGGTATGGGGGGGGGACTCCTTTCTCCTTTTGAATAGGGTCACATGATCTTCAATGCCTGCCCTGGCCTGGCCTCGGTTTAAAGCCTCATCCGAAGATCTCGCCTCGCAAGCGAGAGGAGCTGGGTCCGATTCCCGGGCAGGGCGAAACATTGGCCAAGTTTCCTTCCTCCACATGCCTCTGTTTACCGGCAGTAAATAGGAACCAGGTTGTTAGTCGATTGGCAGATCGCTTTCCGTCACTCCATCCATGACTGTTTGTGGGACTCTGCTGTGCACAATTGGCTGCTGCGTTTTGCCACAAAATACCCAATCAATTCACTTTACAGTATATCCTATGAAGCGCTTTGAGACGTCTCAATGATGTGATAAGGAGCCATATCAAATGCAAGGATGATTATTATTATTATTAAGGCCGGCATCGCTGACTATACAGCATTGCCCTGGAGTGTCAGGCCAGGCCATGAGTTCAGACTCCTTGCAACCTTCTGCTCAAAACGGCCCAAGTGCACCTTCTGCCTCTGAACCTATAATAATAATAATCATTGCATTTGATATAGCGCCTTATCACGTCTGTGACGTCTCAAAGCGTTTCACAGAATATACTGTAAAGTGAATTGACTGTATATTGCGTGGACGAAACACGGCAGCCAATTTCACAGAGCAGTGTCCCAGTGTCCCACAAACAGTTGTGGGTTGAGTGACAAAACAATTTTTATTTGTTTTAAAGGAATTATTACCCCCAGAAAAGCGATCCGCCAATCGACTAACAACTGGGTTCCTACTTACTGCTCTGCTAGGTAAACAGAGGCGCGTGGAGTAAGGATACTTGCCCAATGTTTTGCCCTACCGGGAATCAAGCCCAGGTCCTCTCCCTTGTGAGGCGAGTGCTCTCACCACTAAGTTACAGGACTCCAGTAATGCGATCAAGTGGGATTGTACTCTTGTGTTGTTGCTTAGGAACGTGCAATCAAGCGGAGATCACAAACACCTTTGATTGCTGTTTCATGAACTGTGAATTTTTTATCAAGTATTCTGGTTTCCATTGCCTTGCAACACATCATACATACTAGCTCAAAACAAAAGCTCAAAGCAACCATTACTATGGTTCTGTACAAGCCACAATTCTCACATTGATCAGCAGAGGCAGAGGCAGGGATGCGTGGATCCAGCCCCTGTGAATGCCTTTAACCCTTCCACCCCTGACAATTTCCTACCGTGAAAAAGCAAACTATATAAGTAATTAAACTCTAGTGTAGTGGTTAGAACTCTCACCTCGCAAGTGAGTGGACCCGGATTGATTTGCGGGCGAGACGAAACCTTAGGCAAGTTTCTTTACTCCACACCCCTTTGTTTACCTAGCAGGAAGTAGGAACCCGGTTGTTAGTCGATTGGCGGGTCACTTTCCAGGAGTAATAATCCCTTCCAAAAAAAAAAATAATAATTCATTCACTCAATCCACGACTGTTTGTGGGACGCTGCTGCACTCAATTGGCTGCCATGTTTCACCCACAAAATACACAGTCACTACACTTTACAGTGTATCCTGCGAAAGCGCTTTGAGCCGTCTCAGCAGCGTGATGAGACACTATAGCAAATGCAAGGATTATTATTATTAAGAGATAAAATGTAAACGCACAATAATCTGATCAGATGATGATTTCTTTTGGTTCCTGTGACAGATGCCAGTCAGCTGAACCAAAGGATCCAGGAACAAGTGTACCATGCTCCACTGAACACACCTAACAGGTGAGTGACGAACCTATGCCCGGTGACAACTAAGATCCATAATAATAATAATAATAATAATAATCCTTGCATTTGATATAGCGCTTTTCACGTCGGGAGGACGTCCCAAAGCGCTTCACAGAATATACTGTAAAGTGAATTGACTGTATATTTGTGGGCGAACGCGGCAGCCAATTGCGCACAGCAATGTCCCACAAACAGTCGTAGATTGAAAATGACCAATTTATTATTGTTTTGGGTTTTTTGGAGGGATTATTATTAGGCGTGTGGAGTAAGGAAACTTGCCCAAGGTTTCGCCCTGCCTGGAATTGAACCCAGGTGTCTTGCTTGCAAAGCAAGTGCTCTAACCACTGAGCTACAGGACTCCACAAATATCCATGATACTGGCCTGGATTCAGGTCACTCCACAACAACAACAATGCCGTCTTGCACTTACACACAGCATTCTTTTGGAACTGTTTGCCTACAAAACACATGGTCACCGCACTTTGGAAGTAAATAATCCTACAATAATGATGATTCTTGCAATTGATATAATAATTCTTGCATTTGATATGGCTCCTTAACACATCGTTGAGATGTCTCAAAGCACTTCACAGAATGTATTGTAAAGTTTTTTGACGGTGTATTTTGTGGCAAAAATGCACACAGTGCGAGTAAGTGACCATATTTTTTTTGGGGGGGCAGGAATTATTAACCCCTGGAAAGCGATCCACCAATTGACTAACAACCGTTGACTAACACCAATTGACTAACAACTAACAACCGTGTTCCTACTTACTGCTAGGTACTCCTAGTTACAAATGGCAGGGTTACGACAAAACAATATTTGCTGTTGTGCTCATGTTTAAAGCAATATTATTGTAATGACAATATCAAAATCAATATCAAAGTCCATAAGTTCACAAGCATTTGGCGAACAACTCTCGCTTGGGTTTGTTCGAAGCTACAGCCAGCTACATGGCCAGGAGCAGAATTAACAGCTTGGTTGAGCCTGGGAAGTGCGGCCAGTAGAAACAGGAGGAGGCCATTCAGCCCCTCGAGCCTGTTCTGCCATTCTGTTAGATCATGGCTGATCTGCACCTCAGCTCCATTTAACCGTCTTTGCTCCTTATCCCTTGGTACCCTGACCTAACAAACAGCTATCCACCACAGTCTTGACATTTGAATTAGTAGCAATAACGCATTATAAGTAGTAGCATTACTTGCTCTGTTCAGTTCATAATAGCTGATGTGAAATAAAAGGTCCAAAGTTACTTCTCTAGCAGATGTGTGGCAGCTGTCCTCTCGGGTAAACTGACCCCAACACCCCTGTGCAGGAGGTTAAAAATTTAATTCTTATTGGGGATGAGACAGTCGGGAGGACTGATACAGTTTTCTGTAGCCATAGCAGGGAGACAAGAAGACTCTGTTGTCTTCCTGGGGCCAGGGTGAAGGATGTCACCGGCGGGCTGGAGATAAATTTGAGGCAAGGGAGAGGATCCAATCGTAATGGTACATATAGGAACCAATGACATTGGTAGGACCAGTAGGGATGAGTTAAGGAGCGAGTTCCGGGAATTGGGAATTAAACTAAGGAATAGAACTTCCAAAGTGATGATATCGGGACTGTTACCTGAGCCAGGAGATAATTGGTACAGGCAAAAGAAGATCATAAATCTGAATGCCTGGCTAAAAGAGTGGTGCCGAGAGCAGGAATTCCAATTCATGGGCCACTGGCACGAGTATTGGGGAAGATGGGAGCTTTTTCAAAGGAATGGGCTCCACCTAAATAGGGCTGGGACAAATGTCCTGGCTACGCGAATAAATAGGGAGGTAGAAAGGGCTTTAAACTACTAAGGGGGGGGGGGGGGGGGAGGTAAAAACATAGTAAAATATAGTCCACCACAGTTAAACTTGAGATCAACAAAAGCAAGAGAGCAGATTAACAAGTGGATACTGGAAAAGTTCCCATTGATTGGAAGATTGCAAACGTAACTCCACTATTTAAGAAGGGTGGGAGAGAAAATAGGGAAAACTATAGACCAGTTAGTTTGACGTCAGTTGTAGGGAAAATTCCTGAGTCCTTAATAAAAGACGTAGTTATGGGATACCAGGAAGACCATAAAAAGATTAGGCAGAGTCAACATGGCTTTACCAAAGGGAAGTCATGCTTGACTAACCTTTTAGAATTTTTTGAGGATGTATCCAGCAGGTTGGATAAGGGGGAACCAGTAGATGTGGTATATTTGGATTTTAGGAAGGCATTTGACAAGGTGCCACACAAAAGGCTGTTACTCAAGATCAAGGCCCACGGGATTAATGGGAAAATATTAACATGGATAGAAGAGTGGCTATCGGGTAGAAAGCAGAGAGTAGTGATAAACGGATCATTCTCGAATTGGCAGGATGTAACTAGTGGAGTGCCACAAGGATCAGTGCTTGGGCCTCAGCTATTTACCATTTAAATCAATGATCTGGACGAGGACATTGAATGTAATGCGTCTAAATTCGCGGATGATACTAAACTAGGTAGCAGAGTGAGCTCTCAGGATGATGCAAAAAGATTGCAACGGGATATAGATAGGCGCGGGGAGTGGGCAAGTAGGTGGCAGATGGAATTCAATGTGAGCAAGTGTGAAATTATTCACCTCGGTAGCAAGAATAAAAGAACAGATTATTTTCTGGAAGGGGAGAAGTTAGATAGTGTTAGTATTCAAAGGGATTTGGGTGTCCTTGTACACCAGTCCCAAAAAGTTAGTTTGCAGGTGCAGCAGCAACTAAGAAGGCGAACGGCATGTTAGCGTTCATTTCGAAAGGTTTATAATATAAGAGTAGGGAAGTCTTGCTGCAACTGTATAGGGCTTTGGTGAGACCGCACCGAGAGTATTGTGTGCAGTTTTGGTTTCCTTATTTAAAAAAGGACATACTTGCCCTCGAGGGGGTGCAGCGTAGATTCACTCGGTTAGTTCCTGGGATGAGGGGACTGACCTATGAGGATAGGCTGCATAAACTAGGGCTGTATTCTCTAGAGTACAGAAGAATTAGGGGAGATCTTATTGAAACATATAAGATTCTTAAAGGGCTGATAAAGTAGTCACAGAGGGACTGTTTCCCCTGGTAGGAGAATCTATAACCAGGGTCACAGTCTTAAAATTAAGGGTCAGCCTTTTAGAACAGAGTTGAGGAAACATTTCTTCACTCAGAGGGTAGTGAACTTATGGAATTCACTACCCCAGAAGGCTGTAGATGCTCAGTCCTTGAACATTTTGAAGGCTGAGACTGATAGATTCTTGAAAAATAGAGGGATTAGGGGATATGGGGATAGGGCAGGTAATCAGAGTTAGGTCTGAAGATCAGCCAAGATCTTATTGAATGGCGGAGCAGGCATGAAGGGCCGAATGGCCTACTCCTGCTCCTAATTCTTATGTTCTTATGTATCTTTCCAGTTCTTCTCTTTGCTCTTTTCTCTGGGGAAAGAGCGGGGGACAGAGACTGATTGGGTAGCTCTTCCAAAGAGCCGGGCAAAGGCTGTAATATTCTATGATTCCTTTTCCGATGTTGCTGGAATTTGCAGGAACAGTCAAGGTTGATTGTTTTGAGTGGCAGAACCTTCCTGGAGGAGGAGTACATAGTTGCTCTCTCACTGACTCGAAAAGAACCCACCGACAGAACGCAGTGGAGCTTAGCTGCAGCTCAGTTATAGTTGCCCTTTGTTTCAAACATTCTGGAGTCCTGTTGCTCCGTGGTGAGAGCACTCGTCTCGCAAGCGAGAGATGTTAGCATTTGATACAGAGCTTTATCGTGTATTCAAGAGTGTTGCACAGAATATACTGCAGTATATTAAGAGCTAAGAGTTTCTTAGCAGAGCGAAACGACTTTCCTTACTCCACACGCCTCTGTTTACCTAGCAGTGAATAGGCACCGGGCTGTTTGTTGATTGGCGGATCGCTTTTCCAGGGGTAATAATTCCTTTAAAAATAAGTTGGTCACTCAATTTACGACTGTTGTGGGACACTGATGTACTGCCGTGTTTCGCTCACAAAATACACAGTCAATTCACTTTGCAGTATATTCTGTGCAACACTTTGAGGCGTCTTGAAGACGTGATAAAGCTCTGTATCAAATGCAAGGATTATTATTATTATTTTTTATTATAATTCTGGATGAACACAGGATAGCTTAGCTGAACCTGTGTTATAGTTGTCCTGTGTTTCAAACATCAGGATGGTCCGTGGGAGTCTCCACGTCCTCACCCACCTGAGAGCTGTTTTCAGGCTGTGGGGTCAGTAGCCATCAGCTGATTCTGATTAAGACAATGTAGGAGCGTTACATCACAGCAATATCTAACAGGAGAGCTCCAGCTGTAATCAACACAGAAATATACAGCACAGAAGGAGGCCATCCGGCCCATCGTGTCCGTGGCAGCTCTGCCCAAATCAATCCCACTCCCCCGCTCCTTTCCCCTTAGCCCTGCAAACTTGTCCTTCCCAAATAATTATCTAATGTCTTACTTCTGAACCAATTTAACTTTTCAAAGCACATCATACTGTCATTTTTGCAAAAACATTGTCCAAAAAAGACGTTTGGACATAGACTCTACAATTTAGCTGACCTTGATTAGGCTTCGAGTGTCTACAAGTCATTCCAACATGCACTGACAATTGCATAAGCATTTCTAATTGTTGTGTTCTCTTCTAATTGCTGGGAGACAGGCTCCACTGGCTCCCAATCACAGAACTGATCGATTTCAAGATCTGCTCGCTTGTTTTCAAATCCCTTCCTGCCCTCGCACCTCCCTACCTATCTGACTTGCTTACCTCCCCACTCCACCACCCGCTGCCTCCGCTCGGCTGTCTCCGGCTTCCTGTTTGTCCCTTGTGCCCTCCTTTCCACCATCGGTGGCCGTGCCTTCAGCCATTACTCCCCGAAACCCTGGAACTCTCTCCCTCAATCCCTTCATCTTGCCCACTTCCTCCCCATCTTCAAATCCCGCCTAGAGACCTTCCTTTTTGATCATGCTTCTAGTCACCTGCCCCCTCCCTCTCCCCCCTGGCTTGGTGTCAGATTCCGTCACTGTTAAGGGCTCCAAGACTCTACCTCAGATGAAGAGCGCTATATAAATGCAAGTTGTCGTTGTAATTGAACTGAAATAATATTTTAAGCAATAATATTTCTGATTCCAACACTGTGAGATGTACCCCCGACAAGAAAGGCGCTGTATGAAATGTAAGGATCATTATTATCGTTATTGTCAAATTTCTGAATGTTCTGAAATGCTATGTCAATAGAGTAAATCGAGGTCTATTCCTGGGGTGGGAATTTCTCCCCAGCAGTTTTCCAGTGCCGTTGGAGAGTTCAGAAATAATAACATTAATAGTGATCCTTGCATTTAATACAAGCGCCTTATCACGTGATTGAGACGTCTCATATATATATACAGAATATACTGTAAAGTGTGTCATTTTTGTGGGCGAAAGGCGGCAGCAAATTGCGGAATCTGTGGAATGCGCCAGAACAATGCATATTGCAATGCTAGATCGATATCCTGCAGTTTACACTCAATTGTCTTTGAGGATTAGGGAGAAATTCCTGCAGTTTTTTTTCCTGTTTGTCATTTTGCCCTCTGGGTAGTCATTTCTCTCTGTCGATCTCCCGATCTCCCAATCACTCATTGGGTAATGAATAAATCTGCTGCTGACAGTCGACTGACTGATCTGGTCTTTATTTCTCAATTCCATACCTGATTATCTATCTCCTTGTCTTTCCGTATTGTACTTGGCATATGGATGTCTGCTGGGGAGAGAGCAGGGGAATGGGGTTAAAGTAGAGAGCTCCGGTGGGGCAGACAGATAGCTCTTCAAGGAGATCTCCTGAAAATCACTTTGGAATGTTTTAAATCAAATGCAAAGTGTCTCCATTAAAATGAGACATAAGAGTGCTGTATATTCTATCTTCACAGAAACCTTAGGAAATCATTTGGCCATCAGCAAGATAACAAGTCAGCGTCATCCAGTCCTGAGACAGGGAATAAGCAACAAGGAAACCTCAACAACAGGCACAAGAAAGGTAACGCTCAGATGGTCTTTTCCTGGTTAATTGGTGCAGAGATTGGGAATGGGGAACAGACATCACAATGGATATTGCTCTCATACTGAGATTTCCAGATAAGCCCATTAACAAGTCTAAACTTGAAAGTTCTGCTTCAAGTGATTTATTTCCTGGTTCAGAACTTTGACTGGAGTGTGCGTGCGTGCGTGTGCTGTTTCTTGCCCCTCCCCCCAACCTCTGAGCCTATGAGGAAGTTATGAATTCTCTAATTCATTCAATGGTATGATAATTGTGAGACTTTGGAGTAGGGTTAGAGATCCCCAGTGGGGGAGCGAGCACCAGCACAGATACAATGTGAGAAAGAGCAGGGGAATGGGATTAGAGCAGTGAGCTCCAGTGGGGGATGCGAACACCAACACACAATACGCTGTCAGAATTACCTTTGGTCACAGATTTATACAGTTGAAAAATCCCATTGAAGATTGATCCATTGACAGTTTATTGGTTCAGAATCGGAGGGAAGCATTTCCTCCTCGCGAGGATGGGGGCTTTGCCTCTCATGTATAGATGGTGTTGGACTCTGGAATTGCAGCTGGAACTAGTGGCCAGGCCTATCCTGACTGGGGCTCTTTTGTTGAATTTGTTGACTAGATTTCTTTTCCAATGTACTTTTCGGCCTTAACCACCCAGCGTCAAAACAAAGGCCAGTGGAGCACCAGCCAGACCTTAACTGAAGCTTCCCATCCTGCCTGAAACAGTGTGCTTTGATCTTCAACCTCGCTCTACCACTAACACTTCTCTCTCACCAGGCTTCCTCGCTCAGTCACACCGTCTGCATGCGCTGCCAATGTGTGTTGAACCACACTTCTCTGATGCTGTGGCTCACCCCCAGTAAACAAACAAACCAATTCTCTCTACCCTCACTCCCCCCCCCCCCCCCCCACCCACCTTTTATTTTGACACCTTGCAATGAGAGGACCCGGGTTTGATTCCCGGGTAGGGCGAAACCTTAGGCAAGTTTCCTTACTCCCCACGCCTCTGTTTACCCAGCAGTAAGTATGAACCCGGTTGTTAGTCGATTGGCAGATCACATTCCGAGGGTAATAATTCCTTCCCCCAAAAAAATTTGGTCACTCAATCCACGGCTGTTTGTGGACACTGCTGTGCGCAATTGGCCGCCGCGTTTCACCCCCAAAATACACAGTGAATTCACTTTGCGGAATATTCTGTGAAGCGCTTTGAGACGTCTCAATGACATGAAAAGGCGCTGTATCAAACGCGAGGATTATTACAGGATTAGTTGCAACATTACAGTAATGTTGAGTTTAGCTGCTGGTTGGTAGCGGTTCGAGTTTTTAGGGGGAGGAAAAAATGGTTTGAGATGAGGTTCGATGTGTGATTTTGTCCCTAATTCAATGGGGTATTTTTTTGTTCTGTTCTTTCCACATTTCAAATCGGCCTGCTTATATTTACCGTCCGCATGGGTCACAGAGCAAGCACACTTTGGTGCATTCCACAGGGAGAAAGCGCTGACTGGGTTGGGGCAGCTTTAGCTGGATCTTTGTTTGCCTACAGCCCGGGATTTGGCCCTATTATCACTGACATTCTGACGCTTACCAGGCATCAGCACCTTTTTCCTGTGGGGTTTTTTCTCGAGCGTTTCAAATTTGCAATTTCAGTTCTGTTCAACACAGAAGGTTGTACATTTCTCTCCCTCCCACCTCACCCACTCCCCCACTGGAGAGTCAGCTTAGATCACGTGAGTCTCGACGTGGGGTTTGAACCTACAACCTTCTGACTCAGAAGCGAGAGAGCTACCACTGAGCCAGGCTGTCAATCAAATTACAGGCATCCTCTCGATCCACTAACCTTAACAATTGTAAAGAGCTCAACCATTTAATGGCAGAGTTTTCATTTATAATGATTGGATGCCTCGGAGCGAGTCGATCGGTTAATCGATGGATCGTCAATCGACTAATGATCGATTGATCAATCACAAAATCAGAAATGTTACCTTTACCAATCTCTGATTGAGTCTTTAATACTGTGCCTGTTCAGCACAACAACAACAACTTGCATTTATATAGCGGCCCTCTTGCAGGGTAGAGTCCCAACGCACTTGAAGCTACTGTTTCCTGCTATTTTTTTTTAATGCTGCGATATATCCTTGGTTCATTCTTACACTGATATTCGTAGATTGTAGTTTCAGCACTGAAGTCAAACAGAGTGCATTACAGGCATAAACACATAGCAATATTTTGTATATGCTAGCAGGAAAACTTGCCTCAGGGTCAGAAGGTTGTGGGCTCAAGAATTGCTAGATGGAAAAAAAGACCAAGGTCCATCTAGCTCTCCTTTCACCTTCCTGGCTGTCGCATGCACGCACATATGTCACATATGAACTACCTTTGCACCGTATCCCACAATGTTATTTCTTGCTCAGAGGTCACACTCATGCAAATAGCAACAACAACCTAGATAATAGTAATAATATTTGCATTTGATATAGCGCCTTATCAAATTTTCAGGACATATAATGTGGGGAAGCGTATTATTCACCTAGGTAGTAAAAATAGAAATAGTGAAAACTATTTTCTAGAAGGGGAGAGACTAGATAGTATCAGTGTTCAGAGGGATTTGGGTGTCCATGTACACCAGTCACAAAAAGTTAGTCTGCAGGTATAGCAAGCAACTAGGAAGGCTAATGGCATGTCGGTGTTTATTGCAAAAGCGTTAGAATACAAGAGTAGGGAAGTCTTGCTGCAACTGTATCGGGCCCTGGTGAGGCCACACCTGGAATATTGTGTGCAGTTTTGGTCTCCTTATTTAAGAAAGGACATACTCGCCTTAGAGGGGGTGCAGCGTAGATTCACTAGGTTGGTTCCTGGCATGAGGGGGTTGACCTAAAGGATAGGTTGAGTAAACTAGGCTTATATTCTCTAGAATATAGAAGAATTAGGGATGATCTTGTAGAAACATATAAGATTCTTAAGGGGGTTGACAGAGTAGACAGTCTGAGACTGTTTCCCCTGGTAGGAGAATCTAGAACCAGGGGTCACAGTCTTAAGATTAAGGGTCAGCCTTTTCAAACAGAGTTGAGGAAACACTTCTTCACTCAGAGGGTATTGAATTTATGGATTTCTCTAACCCAGAAGGCTGTAGATGCTCAGTCCTTGAACATATTCAAGACTGAGATTGATAGGATTGACAGATCACCCGTCTCCGCCAATACCTCTACCCAAAAGCCGCTGAAACCCTGGTCCATGCCTTTGTCAGCTCTCGGCTGGACTACTCTAATGCCCTCCTCACCGGTATCCCATCCACCACCATCCATAAAATCCAAATCATTCAAAACTCTGCCGCCCGCATTCTCACCCACACGAAACTCCGCTCCCCGATTACCCCAGTCCTTGCCAGACTGCACTGGCTGCCTATCCCAGAGAGGATCAGTTTCAAGATCCTCACCCTTGTATTCCCTGCACTCCTCTGCACCCCCGACCTCTCTGACCTCCTCTCTCCTCAAAACAGTAGTTCTGTTGCCTCCGTTCCTCCGGGTCTGGCCTCCTCCTCGTCCCGAGTCCTCCGCTCCACCCTCGGCGGCCGTGCCTTCAGCCACTACTCCCCGAGGCTCTGGAACTGCCTTCCTCACTCCTTTTGTCTCGCTCCCTCCCTTCCCATTTTTAGGTCTCTGCTGAAGACCTTTCTTTTCAACTGCACCTTTGGTCACCTTCCTCCGCCTCCCCCCGGCTCCCCCCCCTCCCCCGGGCTTGGTCCGGGATCCGTTACTGTAAAGCACTCTGAGACGCCGTCCGGTGTGGAGGGCGCTATATAAATCCAAGTTGTTGTTGTTGATAGGTTTCTAAAGGATAGAGGGATTAAGGGATATGGGGATAAGGCAGGCAGATGGAGTTAGGTTGGAAGATCAGCCATGATCTTATTGAATGACGGGGCAGACTCGAGTGGCCAAATGGCCTACTCCTGCTCCTAATTCCTATGTTCCTATCTCAAAGTGTTTCACAAGATATATTGTAAAGCAAATTGATTGTATATTTTGTGGGCGAAACGCAGAAACCAATTGCGCACAGTAGGTCCCACAAACAGTCGTGGATTGAGTGACCAAATTATTAGTAAAGGGTTACAACAACAACAACAACAAGATTCCATTTATAGAGCGCCTTTCACGTCAGGAGGACGTCCCAAGGCGCTGCACAGTTGGGTCATGACCCGAGCAGGGGGGAAATGGTCAGGGTGAGGGGAGGGAAGGGAGGGAGAGAGGAGGGGGGAAATGGTCAGGGTGAGGGGAGGGAAGGGAGGGAGCGAGGAGGAGGAAGAGAGTCGAGAGGGGAGCTGAAGGCACGGTCAAAGAGAAAGGTTTTGAGACCGGCCTTGAAGGAGGAAAGGGAGGAAGCAAGGCGAAGGCACTGGGGGATGGAGTTCCAGAGCCTCGGGGCTGAGAGGCTGAAGGCCCGACCACCGATAGTAGGGCGGTTGGGGCGGGGGACGTGGAGCAGACCGGAGCCAGAGGAACGGAGGGTACGGGCAGGTAGGTAGAGGGATAGTAGGTTGGAGAGGTAGGAGGGAGCAAGGCCGTGAATGGCCTTGTAGGTGAGGATGAGGATCTTGAAATCAATCCTCTGGGGGATGGGGAGCCAGTGGAGGCGAGCGAGGGTGGGAGTGATGTGGTCCCGAAGCCTGGTGCGGGACAGTACACGAGCTGCAGAGTTCTGAATGACCTGCAGCTTGTGGAGGGAGGTGCCGGGAAGGCCGGCGAGGAGAGAGTTCCCATAGTCCAGCCTTGAGGTGACAAAGGCGTGAACCAGGGTTTCAGCAGCGTGAGGGGTGAGGTAGTGCCGTAGTCTGGCGATATTCCGGAGGTGATGGAAGGCGGTGCCAGTTGTGGTGCGGATGTGAGGGAGAAAGGACAGCTCAGGGTCGAACAAAACGCCGAGGTTCCTGACTGGCTTTGAGAGGTGGAGAGTGCAGCCTTGGATGCTGATGGTGTCAGCGCCTGAGGTGCGGAGGCGCTGACGTGAGCCAATCAGGAGGGCCTCGGTTTTTCGCACGTTGAGCTGAAGAAAGTTGTCTCTCGTCCAGGACTCGATGTCGGACAGGCAGGCTGTCAGGACATCGGTGGTCGTGGAGTTGAGAGTAGAGGAGGAAAGGTAGAGTTGGGTGTCATCCGCATACATGTGGAAGTTAACCCCATGTTTGCGGATGATGTCACCGAGGGGGAGCATATAGAGGGTGAAGAGGAGGGGACCGAGGACAGAGCCCTGAGGGACACCACATGAGACAGTACGGGGGGTGGAGGAGAAGCCATTCGTTGAGACGAAGTGAAGACGGTGGGAAAGGTAAGAGCTAAACCATTCAAGGACAGTGCCTTGAAGGTTGAGGTGGGAGGACAAGCGGTGGAGTAGGATAGCGTGGTCGACCGTATCGAATGCTGCCGATAGGTCGAGGAGGACGAGGAGACAGAGGGAGCCCTGGTCACAGATAGTCAGGATATCATTGGTGACCTTGACCAGGGCAGTTTCTGTGCTATGAGCAGCACGGAAACCTGACTGAAGGGGTTCAAAAAGAGAATGGGTGGAGAGGAAAGAGCGCAGTTGGGAGGCGACAACTCTTTCCAAGACCTTGGAGAGAAAGGGGAGGTTGGAGATGGGCCGGTAGCTTGATAGCTGCGACGCATCAAGGGAGGGTTTTTTCAGGGTGGGCGTGATGATGGCAGTTTTTAATGGAATGGGGACAGAGCCAGAGGAGAGGGACAGGTTTATGATGTCAGTGATGTGTGGGGCAAGAAAATGGAGCTGGGAGATAAGGAGTGGAGTGGGGATGGGGTCAAGGGAGCAGGTGGTTGGTTTTAGGGATAGGATGAGTTCAGTGACAGAGGGTGGGGAAACGGGTACGAAGGTGTGTAGGGGAGGATGGGTAGGAGTCGGAGTGTGGGAGGGAAGGGGTGGGTGGTGGGTGGAAGTTGGAGGGGAAGTGACCGCGGAGCGGATTCCCTTGATCTTGGATTCAAGGAAATCCAGCATCTCCTCGCAGTGAAGGTTGGAGGAGATGACCTGCGCGGGGTGGCGGGGGGGACGGAGGAGTCGGGATGTGGTGGAAAACAGTAGCCTGGGGTTGTTCTTCGCCTCCAGGATTATCCTGGAGTAGAAGGACGACTTGGCCGAGGCTAGAGTGGAGCGGTAAATTTTGAGGAGGTCCAGCCAGATTTGTCGGTGGACCGTTAAGCCGGATTTGACAAAGGTGCGCTCAGCAGCCCGCACCTGGCATTTCAGTGAGCGGAGGTGGGTGGTGTACCAGGGGGAGGAGCGGGAGTAGGAGACAGTGCGGGAAGTGATGGGGGCAAGAGTATCGAGTGTGGAGGAGAGGATATTGTGGAGGAGGGAGAGAGGAGAAGAGGGGTCGGTGAGGGTTGAAGGCCAGAGGGAGAGGAGTTCAGAGGACTCCAAGGCATCGGTTAGGGATTGTGGGGGTAACTTCTTCCAAGGGCGGTAGAAGATGGTGGTGGGTCTGGTGGAGGTGGGGAGGGGGGTGGAGGTGGTGAAGGAGATGAAGTAGTGGTCGGAGATGGCCTTGTCGGTAATAGTGACATCCGAGACACTGAGGCCCCGGGTGATCACCAAATCGAGTGGGTGGCCGTGACTGTGAGTGGGGGAGTTTATGTGTAGGGAAAGGTTGAGTGAGGAGAGCAGGGAAGAGAAGTCTGTGGAGATGGAGCAGGAGGGGGTGAAGTGTAGGTTAAAGTCGCCCAGGATGATGAGGCGATCAGAGGAGAGGCAAAGAGATGTGAGGAGTGTTGAAATGTCAGAGATGAAGGTGGGAGAGGTTTTAGGGGGCCGGTAGAGGAGGAGGATTTTAAGGGAGAGGAATGAGGGGTGGGAGAGGGTGAGGTGCTCGAAGGAGGGGAAAGAGCCAGAGGAGTAGGGGGATAGGGCAAGTGGTGTCCTTGAGATAAGGGCAACACCACCGCCACGGCGGTTGGGGCGGGGGATGTGGTGGGAGGTGTAGCCGGGTGGTGTGGCCTCCGTGAGGGGGAAGGTGTCGCCTGGGGTGAGCCACGTTTCTGTTAATGCCATGATATCAACGTTCTCATCAAGGATGAGATCGTTGATGACCAGGGCCTTGTTGCAGAGGGAGCGGACATTTTGCAGTCCGATGTGGAGGGAGCGGTTGACAGAAGGGTGTGTGGGAGGGGAGGGGGGTCCAGGTTGTGAGGCAGGGGTGGGGGAGATGGGGATGAGGGAGGAGAGGTTGACTCCCCGGGTCTGTGTCCGGGGTGGCTGGCGAGAGTGGTGGGGAATGGGGCAGTCGGTGTGGCTGCTGCTGGACAGCCAACGCCGAGTGCCGCGGTGAGCCCGGCGGAGGATTCCCAGACTGGAGCAGAGGGAGGTTGTGGGAGGGTCAAGTGGGGATAGAAGACGATTACATCAAATGCAAGGATTATTGTTATATACTGTAGGTACGGACCCCACACTCCTCATTAACGCCACTCTTTTCAAACCTTACTGAGCAATTGGCTGCTGCATTTCGACCACAAAAATACACAGTCACTACACTTTACAGTGTATTATGTGAAGGGCTTACAGAAGTCTTGAAAATGTGACCATGCGCGATATCAAATGCAAGGATGATTATTGTTATTACTTGCTAAAGGCTTCTGCGAGGATGTACACAGATCAGACATGAGAGTTTTTTTGCATAGGGATCAATATTTTCAGAGGGCTGAATTCATCCTCTAACGTTCCTGGAAATCTGGGATAGATGTTTGAAAATGAAAATGAAAAGACTGATTCCGTACCAGCTTTCCTCTGACACACCACCAGTTACAATCAGGAGTCTGTACTGCACTGTCAGCACCCTAACACCCGTGAAGCTGTTCGAAAAGAGAAAGAAGTTTTCCCTTGTGTGCTGGCCAACACTTTCTCTCAAAGCCCTCCTCTCTCCCACCCCACTCCCAGCGCATTACTCCCACAAAACACAGTCACTGCACTTGATAGCATATCCTGCGAAGCACTTTGAGATGTCTCGACGATGCTTTAAGGGGCTATACCAAGTGCAAGGATTATTATTATTATTAAATCCTGTGAAGCGCTGTATGAAATGCAAGGATTATTAGCGGATTACTAAGGCTGTAACACAAGAGGTGAAATGCGAGCTGGCTGTGTTTGCTTATTTCCTTGCTGTTCCTTCACATCTCTGCTCTGTCTCCTCGCCTCCCGAGGCTGCACATCCTCATGCCTTGAGCACGCTCAGCCCCGCTTGCAATCACCACGACCCCCTTCCTTTCCCTTTTCCCTTGTTTCCCGCGTTTTCCCCCCTCCTATCCCCCGCACCCAGCCTGCCCCCACCCTCTCCCCACACTGTGCCTCCACCGCCAGTGTTTGCTGTTGAAAGGATCTTACGAAGAATACTGGAACCCAAACAAATCCCAATAAAAGAGATAAGCATCTATATGTGGACTTTAGCATGTTGCTGCTTACTTCCTCACCTCTGCCTCTCCCTCTTTTCCCCTAGCTGATGCTCCTTCGGCTCCTAACCTTGACCGCTCTGCTCTTGCTAAAAAGCGATTTACATTACAGGGCCTTTCGAACCGCAGGTCACAGCAGAAAGGTAAACTGTCTGGTGTTGTTATTGGTGTCCGTCCTTACCCACATCGCCAACACCACCACACCTCCGCCCTTCTCTTTACCATCAATATTAAAGTGTCTCCTTTTCTACGCTTCCTCCATCGGTGACTTGTGAGGTTATGTTTGCTTACGTTGTCTGCATTACAATGTGTCGTACCCTGTTTTTCCCCCCCACTGTGGAGGTGGGGGGGAGGCGGAAGGAAGAGGGGGAGCCAGTCAATCATAGCAACCAAACTTTCGTGAAAGCATTTGAACAAAGTTGATGGAGGGGGGAGTGGGGGAATGGTTGGAGGAAGGGGATGGGATGGTTGGGGGAATGGGAAAGGGGAGAGGATAAGTCCCTAGTCCAGTCTTCGCCCACAAAACATGCAGTCACTCCACTTTACAGTGTATCCTGTCTCAACGACGTGATAAGATGCTGTATCAAATGCAAGGATGATTATTATTATTATTATCCACTGGGATATCAATGCCCCGCGATGGTGGCAATTAATCCTCACCATTTTGCACCACCCTCCCACCCCCAATCTTGTCACCAATGAAGCTGTACTCTGTGTTTTTGTCTCTACCCAAACACTTGCTGGCTCTCTCTCTCCTAACGCTCTCTCTCTCTCTCTCTCTCTCTATCACTCGCGGTTGCAGTGTGGTACTAACCTGCCCATGACTAACCGCGATGTGCACTGGCTTTCTGTGTCCCCAGAGATACAGCCTAAGGAACCTGCTGTCGTCCGACGCTTTTCTTTAGCTTCCTCACGAGGCAAAGGTACACCTGTCACCTCGTTTGCTCGCTCGCTCGGATTGTCTTACACGTCCAGTTACTTTATCCAAAGTGCCTCTGTCACCCCCTTCCCCCAATTCCCGCTCCTTCACTCCCTCCCTCGGTATCCAACCAGCCTCGTCCCTGCGAAGCTCTCCGAGACAGCATCCTGTGCGACGGCCGCTGTTTAAATGCATGTTGATGTTGTTACTCTATCTCTGTGACCTTTTAACTCCATAGGTATCTAACCATTCCCTCCGCTCAGCAGGCCCAGCTCTGCCCGTACCACTATCCTCCCTGCTCCCCCTCCTCCCCCACCTTCTCGATGTCAAACCCCAGCTCGGATCTAAATCCCTGACCGTCCAGTACCTTAGGACATCCTCACGACGTGGAAGGCGCTGTGTAAATGTAATATGTTGTTGTAGTTGTTGCTGTTTCGGGTTCGGCTCGGTTACAAGGATACTCGGGAGTATTGTTGGGAGAAATCCCGTCCGGATTTACTGGGTGTAACTACACAGGTGTCAGCCTGTGGCTCAGTCGGTAGCACTCTCTCGCCTCCCGAGTCGGAAGGTTGTGGGTTCAAATCTACGTCCGTGCACTATTCAGGAGGACGTGTAAGATCCCCCGGCACTTTTGGAAAAGGGGAGTCTCTCTCTCCTGGCGTTCTGGCCGACAATCTGCCCCACAACCCCCTCCCCGTCCGGCTCCCCGATAAATAAAATTGTTCACTGACTTCACGGCTGTCTGCGGGATGTTAAGCTGCTCTCATGCCTCTTGTACAGGTTCACTCTCTGGCCTCGATGTTAAGGCCAAGCGATATGAGATAAAGAGTGACCCCACTCCGTTCGGGTTTGAAGGTACAGCTGGCTGTGGTGTGGACCAGTGCATGTTGTTGTTGTTGTGGCGGAGCCTGTCCCAGCTCGAGGGAGGTGAAGAGATCTCTCTCTCTGATAAAAATATGCCATGGTTCTAATAAAACTTTGGAACAGGCTCACAATCCATTGTCACATGTCACCTCCCCCCGGCTCGGCCTCAGGCTCCGTCACTGTTAAGTGCTCCGAGACGCTGCCATGTGTGAAGACGCTGTATAAATGCAAGTTGAAATCAACCACCTGCTCCCTCGACCCCATCCCTACCCCTCTCCTTACCTCCCAGCTCCACCTCCTTGCCCCTCTACTCTCAGACATCATAAACCTCTCTCTGTCCGTGAGAGCGCCTTGGGACGTCCTCCTGACGTGAAAGGCGCTTTATAAATGGCTCTGGCCTGCTTCACGTCCCCCACCTCGCTCGCCCCACTATTGGCGGGCGGGCTTCTGCCACTCTGCCCCCACCCTCTGGAACTCCATCCCGCAGTCCCTCCACCTCGCTTCCTCCCTCGCCTCCTTCAAAACCCGTCTCAAGACCCTCCTCTTCGATCATGCTTTCGATCTCCCTGCTTCCCCCCCCTGCCTTCCACTCTCCCAGATCCCGGCCACCAGCTCTGGTCCGAAACTCTGTCTGTCCAGCGCCTTGGGATGTCCTCCTGATGGGAAAAACGCTATACAAATGTAATTTTGCTGTTGTTGGTGGTGGTGGTGGTGTTGAACGCACAAGGGATGGTGAGTGGGAGCGTTAGAACAGGGACTACTACATCATTGCCTGACACATGCAGAAACCCATCACTGTTGCTTAAGAGTCTCCAAACTGAACTGAAATTTCCATGCATCCCACCCATACATGGAAATTCCAGAGATATTTATTGAGATGGGAGGTGCACTCCCCCACCCCTGACGTCCCCCCGAGGGACACATCCTGTTTACCTAATTCCAAAAGTACTAGGCGTAGGTTTCTACAGTGTCTCCTGTGAAGCGCTTTGAGACGTCTCAACGGCGTGACGAGGCGCTATATCAAATGCAAGGATTATTATTATTATTGTACGCTGGGAGTGTGAGTTGCCTCACTGCTGGCTAGGGTTGAGCATCTCACTGGGATATTTCTAGTGTTAAAAATAAACACAGACATCAGAGCTCTTTTCCTGTTCCCCACCAAAACAAAAATGCCTGTCAACTGATACCCTTGTGTTATTTAACAAGTAACCGGATAGGCGGCACAGCCTGAAACCCTACATTGCTGACGTACAAATCACACAAGGGGTGTGTGCCCTCTTTTTTTGTGTGTGTCCTCACTTTCGAGTGTTACCCTCCGTTGTGAGGCAACTCATTCCCCACAAACACACTCGCACACACCCAAACAAACACACACACAAACATACTTACACACCCAAACAAACACAAACACACACCTCCCCCTCCAACACACACAACGACAACAAAATTACATGTATAGAGCCCCTTTCACGTCAGGAGGACGTCTCAAAGCGCTGGACAGTCAGGGGTCGAGACCCGAGCATGGGGGAGGGGTGGTGTATGGGTGAGGGAAGGTAGAGAGGTGGGAGGGCAACCGAAGGCACGATCAAAGTGAAAGGTCTTGAGACCGGCCTTGAAGGAGGCAAGGGAGGAAGCGAGGCGAAGGGACCGTGGGTTGGAGTTCCAGAGCGTGGGGGCAGAGAGCCTGAAAGCCCGGCCACCGATGGTCGGGCGGGAGACATGGAGCAGACCGGAGCCCTCCAACACACACACAAACATAAACACACTCACACACACACACCTCCCCCTCCAACACACACACACACAAACACACATCTCCCCCTCCAACACACACACACACAAACAAACATACGCCTACCTCCTCCCTAACACACAAACACAGACATACAAACACACTCACACACACACACAGCTCCCCCACCCCTGTCTGTCAATAATAACCCACTTCTTTCCCAACAGATTCGTTGCCGGATCCATCCCTGGCTCCAAACAAGCAGCGATGTGCGAACAGCCACATCACCAGGTCCACCTCCCAGACAGGTACCCATAGCTTGGAGGTGATACAACTCCCTCCACCCCCACCCCCCCCCACCCCCTCCGGATCTTTGGCTGGGTGGGGGTCGATGGTGGGAGAATATGGAGAGGAGAAATTCTTCATATTCTCAGACTTCAACAACATCGCCTTAATCGGTAGAATCCCATAGTGCAGGGGATAGAGCCCTCGCCTCGCAAGCGAGAGGATCCGGGTTCGATTCCCGGGCAGAGCAAAACCTTCGCCAAGTTTCCTTACTCCACCTGCCTCTGTTACCCAGCAGTAAACAGAAACCCGCTTCTTAGTCGATTGGCGGATCGCTTTCCGGTGGTAATAATAAAAAAAATTGGGTCGCTCAATCCACGAGTGTTTGTGGGGACGCTGCTGTGCGCAATTGCCGCAGCGTTTCGCCCACAGAATACACGGTCACTACACTTTACGATATATGCCTTGAAGCGCTTTGAGACGTCTCAACGACGTGGTAAGGCCCTGTATCAAATGCGAGGACCCCACAGTGTCAGCTCAGGAAAGCACACTTTCATTCTCATTAACCCATTAAGCGCCACTTTCTCAGTCCCCCTAAAAGGAGAATGGGACCGAGCGGAGAGAGAGTCCGCACGGCCTGGCACGATGGGCCGAATGGCTGGAATTCCGTGGTCCGTTCCCGAATGGTCACAGCCATTCGTGGAACAGCACAACTTTGCCATCTGCTGACGGGTCAAAGGTTTGCGCCTGTTCACGTGGATGGTAAAGATTCTGCCGTACTATTCAAATAGAGAGGGAAGAGTTTCTCCTCTCTCTTCGCCCCACCCCCCCCCACCCCCCACACACCCCACAGCACCCTTGCAGGGTGTTTTTCCCTCTCTATCTCCCAGCCAACTTGCACTCAGCAATGTCCCACATATGGCCATGAAATGAACGACCAATTTCATCAGCTGCCGGGACATAGACATAGGGGGGTAGTTTATGATGTGTGTGTGTGTTGTGGGCGGGCGGTAGTTTACGGTGTGTGTCTTGTGGGGGGTGGGGTAGTGTATGGTGTGTGTGTTCTGGGTGGGGGGAAGTTAATGATTTGTGTGTTGTGGGCGGGGGTAGTTGATGGTGTGTGTTGTGGGCGGGGGGTAGTTGATGGTGTGTGTTGTGGGCGGGGGGTAGTTGATGGTGTGTGTTGTGGGCGGGGGGTAGTTTGGGACACCTTGGGACATCCTCCCGACGTGAAAGGCGCTCTATAAATGGAATCTTGTTGATGTTGTTGTTGTTGTTGTGGGCGAGGGGTAGTTTATGGTGTGTGTGTTGTGGATGGAGGTGTAGTGGAGTCCTGTAGCTCAGTGGTTAGAGCACTCGCTTTGCAAGTGAGAGACCTGAGTTCAATTCCAGGCAGAGGGCGAAACCTTGGGCAAGTTTCCTTACTCCACACAGAGCCTAATAATAGTCCCTCCAAAACCAAAAACAATAATAAATTGGTCATTTTCAATCTACGACTGTTTGTGGGACATTGCTGTGCGCAATTGGCTGCCGCGTTTGCCCACAAATATACAGTCAATTCACTTTACAGTGTGTTCTGTGAAGCGCTTTGGGACGTCCTCCCGACGTGAAAAGTGTTATATCAAATGCAAGGATTATTATTATTATTATTATTCAAAAGCAACCTGGCTTGATCCTGGAAGGAGAGCCTTACCTCTGTGACCTGCTAACTCTTTATCAACCTGCCCACTCCCTCTTACTCCACGTCCCCTGCCCATCCAGCTCGAACCACCATCGGTGGTCAGACTTTCAGTCAATCTGCCCCCATCTTGGAACTGTGTTCCACAGTTGCTTTGACTCGCTCCTTCGCTTGCCTCCTTCAAGGCAAGTCTGAAGACCTTGCTCTTTGACCGCCCTTCAGCCAACCTCCTACCCCTACCCTCCCTGCCCTCCACCTCTCCTGATCCCAACCCTCCTCCTCTTGCTCCTCCCCCACCCCACTCGGGGTCCTGCACAAAACCCCGCTCCCCGATCACCCCAGTCCTTGCCAGACTGCACTGGCTGCCTGTCCCAAAGAGGATTAACTTCAAGATCCTCACCCTTGCATTCAAATCCCTCCACTCCTCTGCACCCCCCATACTCTCTGACTTCCTCTCTCCTCAAAACAATACTGGTTGCCTTTATTTCTCCTGGTCTGGCCTCCTCCTCGTCCCCCGAGTCCTCTGCTGCACCCTCGGCAGCCGTCCCTTCAGCCACTATGCCCCGAGGCTCTGGAATTCCCTTCCTCACGCCCTTCACCTCGCCCCCTCTCTTCCTATTTTCAGGTCTCTGCTGAAGACCTTTGGTCACCTTCCTCCCCCTTCCTCCGGCTTGGCCCCGGGATCCGTTACTGTAAAGCGATCTGAGACGTCGTCCATCATGGAGGGCGCTATATAAATCCAAGTTGTTGTTGTTGACTGTCCAGCACCTATGGATGTCCTACCGACGTGAAAGACGCTGTACACATGTCATTTTGTATTGTATTATACTGGTCCAATGGGAACCAATGTTGCTGATTGCTGTAACCGCAGGTTGGTCCAGTAAACCCATCCCATCCATGGACACGTGCGAGGACTTTGACGCCATCCCTTCGAGTACAGAGGAACTCTCCAACTCCTCCGACATGGAGGAGGAAACGTCCATCAAAACTGTGAGTCGGGTCTCTCTCTTCCAGTATCCTGGCCAATGATCCTCCTGCACAGATCAAATCAGTCATTCACACCGTGGCTGTTCGCAGGATGTCGCTGTGCGCAAAACTGGCAAAAAAACAGTTACTACACTTTACAGTAAATTCCTGTGAAGCACTTTGAGTCGTCCTCCCGAAGCGAAAGCCGCTGTATCAAACATACATGTGTTATTATTATGGGAAAGCTTGCCAGACAGCGCTCTCAATGGAAAGCTATGTGGTTTTAGCTGGTTAGACTCCAGCAGTTACCCCAACGCACACTTTGGGCTTTCCAAGCCTTAGCTCCTTGCCAACCTAATACCTTCCAGAATTAGGTAAGTAGGATACATCCCTCCAGGTAGAGAGAGAGAGAGCGTATTCCATTCCAACTATCTGTCTCTGGGATTTCCATGCGTAGGTGGGATGCCTGGAATTCTCAGCCTGGTTTGGAGACTCTTAAGCAACAGTGATGGGTTTCCGTGTGTGTCAGACACCCAGCTGACTCAAGATAAAAATATCAACATGATAAATTCCAAATAAATTTTGCACACAGGAGTTAGAGGAAAAACTGTCCAAGATTCCTAGATGCAGCAAGAGAAGCAGGGCATAAAAGGGGGTGCGAAGGACAAGTTTGGGGCAGGTACTTGGCAGTATTTGTTTTACACAGAGGAGAATTAGCAGCAGACACACAGTTTACTGGGAGGTTAAGCTAGGGATCCAGGCCTAAACACAACATTTTGTTTGATTTGACTCTTGTGCACCATTGTCTTTCAAAGTTGAGGGAGTTTCTCACTGCCTCTTAGCCTCTAACCTACAACCGACTCCCTCCGTTCGACTGGCTCTGGCCTTCTGCATATCCCTCGTGCCAGCCGCTACGACCCGAAACCTTGGAACACTCTTCCTCCATCTCTCCGCCTTGGCCCCACTCCTTCCCCGTCTTCAGGTCACGCCCAAAGATCTTCCCCTTCGACTGTGCCTACGGTCACCTCCCCCCTCCCGGCTCTGTGTTGTGCTCCACCACTGTCCAGCGCTCTGGAACGCTGCCCTGGGAGGGAGGGAAGGAGGGAGGGGCGCTGTGCAAATGCAAGTTGTTGTTGGTTGTTAGTGAACGTGAATTTGAGGCGCTGCCATTCTGTTCCAGACTCCGCGTCTATTCCGAGCGGAAACCGCTTACGAGGCCAAGTCGTGTGCGGAGCTGACGGTGCAGGCCGGGGAGGTGCTGGAGGTGCAGCAGGAGGCCGGCGAGGGGCTCTGGTGAGTTCGGTGGAAGCCGAGTGACTGCATCCTCGCGGTGAGGGTCTCGGACAGTGTGGGGCGGAATCGCTCACTCGCTCGGGCTGGGTTGGCTTGGCCCACATAGCACGCAGTCAGTAACATCCGGCCAAATGCTTCGAGACCTCCTCTCGATAATTATAGTAATAATGATCCTTGCATTTGATGACAATCCATTCACTTTACAGTAAATCCCGTGAAGCGCTTTGAGACATCACGAAGACGTGATCAGGTACTGGGTCAAAATGCAAGGATTATTATGATTATTAGAATACATTAAAATATACAGCACATTCGGCCCAACTGGTCTTTGCCGGTGTTTAGCCTCCTCCTGCCCTTCCTCAACTAAGCCTTCAAGCACAACCTCCTATTCCTTTCTCCCTCTTCCCTTTAAATACATCTATGCTATTTGCCCCAACAACACCTTGTGGTATTATGTTCCATATTCCCACTGTTCTGCGTGAATAAATTTCTTCCCTATTTGATCTATTTGTGACTATTTTATATTGATGGCCCCTGGTTTTGGTCTCCTCCACAGTTCCCTGTGTCTACCGTATCAAAACTATTATAGCGCCTCAGGCATCTCAAAGTGCTTCACAGAATACACTGTAAAGTGTACTTGGTGGGAGAAATGTGACAGCCAGTTGCACATAGCAATGTTCCACAGACAGTCGTGGATTGAGTGACCCAATTTCTTTTGTGGGGTGGGGTGGAGCTGGGTGGGGGGGGGGGGAGGCATTATTATTACCATTCTCACCGGAAAGCAATCCGCCACAACCTGCTGTAATTCTCTGTGATTGATCTTTTCTGTGTGTGTCATTCAGGCAAGTGAGAAGCCTCGTTTCGTATAAGGTTGGGTGGGTTCCATTCAGCCTCCTGCTACCGGTCACCTCTGAGAGCAAGCCAATTCACAAAGAGAACAGTTCGGGTAAGAACCTAGAGAACGAAGGCAACAACTTGCACTTACACAGCGCCCCCTCAATCAGGGATAGCGTCCCCGAGCGCTTGACAGGGGTGGAGCAAGATTCCGAGCCAGTGGGGGGAAGTGACCGTAGGCGCGGTCGAAGAGGAAAGGTCTTCCGTCTTCCCCACGACCTGAAGATGGAGAAGGAAGTGGGCGGGGGGGGGCACGAGGCGGAGGGATTGAGGGAGAGAGTTCGGGGCATGGTGGCTGAAAGCACGGCCACCGACGGTGGAGACGAAGGCACGAGGGACAAGCAGGAGGCCGGAGCCAGTTGAGTGGAGGTGACGGGTAATGGAGTGGAGTGGGGAGTAAGCAGGTCGTAGAGGTAGGGAGGAGCAAGACCGTAGAGGGCTTTAAATCTGAGGACGAGGATTTTAAACTGGATTCTCTGGGGGTGTGGGGTGGGGTGGGGGGGCGATGGGGAACCTGTGAAGCTGGGCGAGGGTGGGGGTGATCGGCTCAGAGTGGGTAGAGTGGCCATTGTTCGGTATTGCTGAGGAGGGCTGGAGTCTGACCAGGATCCGCGTTTCATTACAGATTTCTACAGCGACATGTGCACAGCGGCTCTGGCTGATACTGAGAGCGAGACGCTGGGATTCGTGACGAGTTTCTCACCGGAGACAAGGACTGAGAGCTGAGCGGGGCACCCTTCTCTCTCCCCCCAACCACCCCCTCGCCTCCCCACTCCACCCCCACCACCACCGTTCCCCCCCAAGCTTTCCCACCTTTTCATCAGGATTCCCACCATCAGAGGAGCTGAGACGTTTACTCCTCGGTGACCCTTCAGACCAGCTCGGAACATCACACCCTCTCGGCGGGGGAAAAGCCCTTCACACAGCGGGTGTTACACTGAGCTTTCCCCTCGTCTGTGCCCTGTTCAGGCGGACTTTAAAGACCCCGCGGCGCTAACAGAAATAGAGAAGGGAGTTTCTCTCTCTCCGGTGACAATCTTTCTCCCATCCCCAGATAATCCAGATAAAAATGGGTTATTGGCTCTGTGGCTGTTTGCTGTTTGCACATCGCCGTGCGCAAATTGTCTGCCACATTCTGCCTGCAAAATACACAGTCACTACACTTAAAACGTAAGAATTTGCTAGCGAAAGAAGCCGAATGTCCATCTAGTTTGCCTTCCACCATCCTGGCAGTCACTTGACATGTCGTGTCCCAAACCATATATTGTATCGCCAAAATATTATTTTCTAGCAGAAATCTATTTCATTTGTTCTTGAAACAAATAACATTTTCTGCTTCCACCATCTCCCTAGGGTGCCTGCTCCATAAGTTTACCACTCGCTCACTGGAGCAGTGTCTCTGCAAACTTGTTCTGAATTTAACCCCCCTTCAATCGCAGGCCGTGTCCTCTGGTTCTACTGTTCAGTGCAAGATAATACAGCTTATCATGGTAATCACTTCACAGTAAAACTCCTCCACAGCACTTTTAGATGATCAGGCGCTGTATCAAATGCGCGGATTATTAATATATTATTATTATTGTTATTATATATAAAAATAACGGGTGATGTTTCTTTATCATGCGAAGAGATGTTCTCAGTATTGTTGGCGTTCGCTGAGCCACACTTTGGAATGTATGAGATAGTTATTTGGTTCTGACATAATGCAGATATTAAATATATTAACCCTCTTCTCCTCCCTCCCACACGTGTTATTTGACCGCTGAGATAGCCATTAAGTCTCGGAAAATGAAGGCTTTATTCCCAGATGTTTACATCAACCCAACACCAACAACAACAACTTGCATTTATATAGCGCCCCTCACACATGGCAGGGGCTTTGACAGGGAGCTGGGGAAGGGGTGAGGTAACAGTAGGCATCGCGGAAGAAGAAGGTCTTCAGGCGCGATCTGAAGATGGGGAAGAAAGGGGCAAGGGGGAGGGATTGGGGGAGTTTCGGGGTATAGTGGCTGAAAGCGCGGCCACCAATGGTGGAACTGAGGGCACGAGGGACATGCAGGAAGCCGGAGCCAGTCGAGCGGGTTGTGGGGTAAGCAGGTCGGAGAGAGGTGCCTGGGTATGAAGGGACTTGAAGACAAGTATGAGGATCTTGAAATCGATCCGTTCAGTGATAGAGAGCCAGCGGAGCCTGGCAAGGACTGGTGTGATGGGGGTATGGAGTTTAATGCTGGTGGGTATGCAGGCGACAGAGTTCTGGATTAAACGGATTTTGTGGATAGTAGAGCTGGGGAGACCTTGGAGGAGGGCATTGGAATAGTAACCCCAAAACCACCAAACACATACGCACACACACGCACACACGTCGCCAAAATAAACAGCAGTTCTCAGCTTCCATCAACAGTTTGTTCTTTGGTTCTGAGACTGACACTGTGGCAGAGAGAGCGAGAGAGAAGGGGACACGAAGACAGCCAGACCGACATGGAGAAACTCTGACTAAGATGGTCCCGATGTTTACCCATGTGCTGTAATCCCATTCTGTACATAACACTAAGGCTATTGACACTTCACACACAACATGCCACACACCACACACACACACACAACACACGCAGCTGATTTTAAACCTGACTTGTCTAATGAGCCTTATACAGCTGTGGGGAGCGTCCCCTGTTATCACACTCTGTCACCTCCTGCTTCCTGACACAATATGAAAGATGCTTTACGCAGCACTGAATATAAATAATCGGGTAACCTCTCACACCTTCGTTATCAATGAGAACACTCACCGGGCTGGTTGACACACTGTTGGGGGTTATTCTAGCGTTAAAGCTTACACGGAGGCACTGCTGCTCCAGCCGCAACTCTGGCTGCTTCATTGCTCTCCACTACCCGCCCGCCTACTCCGCCCCACCATCATGGAGTCCTGCGGCGTAGCAGTTAACACGCTTGCTTCACAAATGAGAGGACCCGGGTTAGATTCCCTGGTTCCTCCACACGCCTCTGTTTACCGAGCAGTAAGTAGGAACAAGTAGGATTGGCGGATCACTTCCTGGGGGTAATAATCCCCTTAAAAAATAAAAATAATAATTATTTGGACACTGTTTGTGGGACGCTGCAGTGTGCAATTGGCTGCCGCATTTCGTCCACAAAATACACAGTCAATCCGCTTTACAATATATTGTGTGAAACGCTTTGAGATGTTTCAATCAGGTGATAAGGCGTTATATCAAATGTAGGATTAAGAGGTTAATGTGGCGCCTGGTGATGGCTGCTTTGACATCTTAACACATCACAACATCTTAAAGTTTCTCCACACCTCCCAGTAATTGTAGTGACTGTTTTGGTAGGTGAGGGCTATTTAAGGATGATGCCCATTTATGATCTGAAGGCACTTTTAATAGGTGGGAGAAGGGGGGAAGGGGGAGTTGGGTATCTTGTCCAGAGTCTTAACTGGACTCTACCTCCTAACAGGTGTACATTGCCAAGTGCAGGAAACAGCTGTAAGCCATAGAATGCAGTTTGAGGGTTACATTTTCACTCACTTCCAGGTGCTGTGTATTTTCTTGTCAGTCTGTCCTCCCTCTCATCGACTCGTGACTTCAGTGTTTTTTTTGCCTGTTGTTATTTTTGCTGTTGGACCAACAGCACTTTATAAGAGAGACAGAGCGTGAATTTTCCTGATGGCTTTTTGCACAGTGCAGGTAGTCATGAAGTGGCAGATGTTGGCTGTTGCTGTCTTGCTGTTGGGTGAGTGAAGGGATGGATGGACAGTGGTTTCGTTGGTGTCTATGTTCTTCCTCCTGTTTTCTGGTTAAAAAGCTTTTAAGTTTCATTTGTAACTTCTTGGTACTTTTTTATTTTTTTGGCAGAATTTCAATTCGTCCTCTCTCTTTCTCTCACTCTCTCTATATAATATATATCTATATATACACACATATAATCTTAGAAACGTGAAGGGTTCTGTGTTTATTGATATAAATAATTTACAAAAGTATAGTTTTCACAGAGAGAGAGACCTGTGTAGTGCAGAAGTGGGTGAACGATTGCATTTCAGAACTTCACTGTTTGGGTTTATTAAATTTCATATCGATTTCTTTATTCTGGTTATTTTGGTGTGTCTCTGATGTTATTTTTTGGGTGGGGGAGGGTGGAGAGGGAGGAAGTATTTGGAAGTTAATCCCATATCTGGTTAATAAAGGTATCCACGTGAAATTTTATTGATGTATTTCAGAAATGCAGTACCCTATTTATGTGCATGGTCGAGAGTCTATTCAGTTCCTATTAAATTCTGGCTCTGTGAAGTTAGTAACTTCAATAACAATAATAATAATCCTTGCATTTGATATAGCGCTTTTCACGTCGGGAGGACGTCCCAAAGCGCTTCACAGAACACACTGTAAAGTGAATTGACTGTATATTTGTGGGCGAACACGGCAGCCAATTGCGCACAGCAATGTCCCACAAACAGTCGTAGATTGAAAATGACCAATTTATTATTGTTTTTGGTTTTGGAGGGATTATTATTAGGCTCTGTGTGGAGTAAGGAAACTTGCCCAAGGTTTCGCCCGTCCTCCTGGAATTGAACTCAGGTCTCTCACTTGCAAAGCGAGTGCTCTAACCACTGAGCTGCTGGACTCCACCACTAGTTTGGTAACTAGTTAACAAACCAGTTAGTAACTGGATTGTCAACCCCCCCCCCCCCAAAAAAAAGTGGAATTACTTGTGTTTGCTCCCCCACACAATTAAATGAAAAGCCTGTGAAACTTTCTTTAAAGTTGACCTTCCAGTATTGAAAGTATTTTTTTTCTAAGGCGGTGCTTTTAAGCAAAATATTTTGGTTTTGTCTCTGTGTCTTTGTGAACTGGGGCTGAAGTATCAATGGCGCGTCACTTGTGGGTTGCTGGGTGGGATTCGGGTGCTTTTGGTGCAACTACAACAACAAATTACATTTGTATAGTGTCTTTCACGTCGGGAGGACATCCCAAGGCACTGGACAATCAGGGGGTTGGGATCAGGAGGGGTGGAGGGCTGGGAGGGTGACCGAAGGCACAGTCAGAGGGGAGGGTCTTATATATAGCGAGACGAAAGGACTTGGATGAAGTTTCAAAGGGTTGGGGCAGAGAGGCTGGAGCATGCTCCAAACTTGCTGAGAGCTTAAAACTAAAAGAAACTTTAATTTTTTTTCTTAAAACTTTTTGTCCCATTTGTACGGGGTATCCAAAAAATTCCTGTTGTCCCATTTTTTTTTAACACAGCGCACTAACCACCAACTGAAACGTGTGGAAGAATGATGATAATTGTATTTAGAAGTGTTTAATTGTATTCATTACAAGTGTTTAACTGTATTTAAATGTCTAGAAGAGGGGTGTGTGTTTGTGAGCGCCATAATTTTCATGGCAGATAATGATCTGTGGCCATCTTCCATAACGTGGATGGAGGGTCATGGAGATCTGAAACTCTCTCCAGATTTCCCAGATTGGGTGAGTCAGCATTTCTGCAGACACCAGGCTAACTGTGAACGTGCACAAATTGAGCTTAGTGGTTGCTCCAGCTTCCCTCCACCTCCTCGTCGTTGCCTGTTTATTTTTTCTCTCAAATGGTTTTGGGGAAATGCCAAAGTTTACAGAGAGAAGAGGCTCTTTCAACTTATAGTATCTGTGCTGGTGCTCGCTCACCTCCCCCACTGGAGTTCTTCCCAGACATCCGGTGTTAATAAGTACGTTGTTGAAATCTAATTTTCTTTTTTGGGGTCAGCCGAGTGTCTGACACATGTGGAAATTCATCACCGTGCTTAAGAGTCTCCAAACCAGACTGAGAATTCCCACACATCCCACCTACACATGGAAATCCCAGACATAGATTGTTGGAATGGAATGCTCATTCTCTCCCTGGAGGGATGCATTACCTAATTCCGGAAAGTATTAGGTGTGGGTTGGCAAGAGCCAAGGCTTGGGGACCCCAGAGTGTGCGCTGTCTGATATCGCAGTCTGGCAAGTTTTCCCACTGCTTGTCCAGCTGGGACCACCCTACCCATCAGAGGCTTTGGCTTGCAGGGTTAACAGGAGCTGAGTGGGATGACTCCCTGCCCCCAGTGACTGGTCTGCCTTCCAGATCCTGTCA